GAGGAGGAGCTTTTGACTGGCCACGGCGACCGCCCGCCCCGAACAGGACCTCCCAGGCCCAGACCTGCAGAGCGGCCCGAACACTAGAGGCCGCCTTCGAGCCCGAGGTGGCCCCCTCTGCTCCAGCGCCTCGGGGGTGCATCCGGGCCTCGATCGGGGATCTGAGGACCATGCTTCGCCCCTCGCCTGGGCCAGTCCCCGCCTCCTGTCGTTGCCCCTGATGTCGGAGGAGGGGGAGGAGGAGAGAAGGGGGAGAGAGGGGAGGAGGAGAGGAGAGGAGGCGGAGGAGGAGGAGGAAGAACAGGAGGAGAGGAGGGGAGGAGGACGAGGAGGAGGAGGAGAGGAAGAGAAAGTGGAGGAGGAGCAGGAGGAGGAGGAGGAGGAGGAGGAGGAGGAGGAGGAGGAGGAGGAGGAGAAGGTCGCGCCAGGACGAGCGAAGAGATTGAGGAGGAGGATGAGAGAACAGAAGGAAGGAAGAGGCGGAGGAGGAAGGAGGGAGGAGGAGGAGGAGGGAGAAGGGACGAGGAGGAGGGGGGGACGGAGGAGGAGGAGAAGGAGGAGGAGGAGGAGGAGGAGGAGGGGGAGGGGGAGGGGGGGGAGAAGGGAGGAGGAGCTTTTGACTGGCCACGGCGACCGCCCGCCCGAACAGGACCTCCCAGGCCCAGACCTGCAGAGCGGCCCGAACACTAGAGGCCGCCTTTCAGCCCGAGGTGGCCCCCTCTGCTCCAGCGCCTCGGGGGTGCACCCGGGCCTCGATCGGGGATCTGAGGACCATGCTTCGCCCCTCGCCTGGGCCAGTCCCACCCTCCTGTCGTTGCCCCTGATGTCGGAGGAGGGGGAGGAGGAGAAGGGGGAGGAGGAGGAGGAGGAGGAGGAGGAGGAGGAGGAGGAGGAGGAGGAGGAGGAGAAAGGGAGGAGGAGGAGGAGGAGGAGGAGGAGGAGGAGGAGGAGGAGGAGGGAGACACAGCCGACCCGTCGTGCAACTGACTGGCAGGAGCACGGGCCCACCCATTAGAAAACTATGTCCGGACCCTACCCGTTTTAGGGTCCTTCCCAGCCTTAATGGCTGAGGTGAAATACTTCTGCCTGGATCGGGTGGGCCCGTGCTGAGAGGGGCCCACGCAGGCCGTCGAGCTTATCTTAGAATTCGCAACCTTCCCCATGGACACCTGATAGGAGCCACAGGAGGCAGACCATGCACCCGTTGGTCACCAAAACACCTGGTGCCCATTGAGCTCGACGATAGCTTCAGAGAGCGGCACTGACGGATTCGCGAGAGCGGAACCCTCGGGATCATCCCTACAAGAAGCCTCAAAAGCCACACGCACTGCCTCCGACTGCATCGGTGGCGCGCACTGCAGCTCAGGTGTCATTCTAGCTCGCAGCCTCTGCTGGGCCGTGGGCTCACACGAGGTCCCTCGGATCCAGCTAAGACTCGCCTTGGTCCTAGCCACGCCCAGACAAGAATTACATTGGAAAACCCCAGGCTCACGAACTACCATGTCATGGGCCGTGATCCCAATGGGCCTCACAGGGGCAGGGGCTCTCACAAGTCTACTTGGCCTCTCAATGACTGGGTCACGATACGCCATCTTGCAAACGACCCAAGGCAACATCCTGGCCTGCATCTTGGCGTCACTCAAGGCAGATTCTAGCGATAACTCCAAAGTCTCGGACGGATCATGGCAACATGCACCCCATTTAGCAAATCTGTCCGCCCATGCATTGCCCAGGAAGTACTCCCATGGGTGCTGGTCCTGCTCGATAAACTGCTGCGCCGTCTTGTGAGCAGGACACCAGTAAAACTTGGGAGGTATCTTACGCATGCTACTCATCATCAAAAAATGGGCCTCCAAAGGTCAGCGTGCGAGGCGTCCGCCTCCTGCTGTGCGAGGCTCCAGCCCGTGCCTTCTCTGACGAGGCTGGAAAAGTCTGACACGACAAGCTTGACGTCGCGCAGCAGCTTCAAAACAAAGAAGAGGGCAGCTCTTCCAGCTCGCCCTACCGTCTGCAGTGGCCCTTTTGGGGGCCCATATGCACCTCTGACGGGCAGCCCATTTTCCCAAACACACGAATTCCGATCCACATCCGGTGATCCCAGGAAGTCCTGCAGCAAACCCAGTCCCGTCCGTGTAGACCACTGAGGTCCAACTTTGCTGATCAGATTCCCAGTCGCCCCAGTAGTGAACCTCGAGCCCGTCGGAGACCTTGGGAGGCACCACAGGGCACATAGGCATACACATTGTACAATCAAACCTGTCCCAATCAGGAGGTCCCAGAGCATGTACACCACGGTCCCTGAAGTACCCATAGCACGTATTTAACTTAGGATTCCAACTCAATTCCTCATGATGACAATCTTTTATATTGACCATTCCAATCGTATATACAATGTCCTAGAGAAGACCGTTCAGCAAGGCACCAGGGGCATTTCGCCAAAATGTTGTATCCTGCCTGGTGCTGCCTGTCCCGGGTCCAGAAGCCTCCTGACCAGAGCGCCATGAGGGTTCCCGAGAATCTTGCACTTCTTATGGCAGCCTTAGGCCCACCAATACACATGCGAAGCGCACGAAACCAGATACACCCATGTCCATAGCAAATGTCTTGATGATGGGCAAGGGTCCGTCTGCCCTGCCAGCGCTCCACACCTTGGCGTGCAAACTCGATGACTGTCTTGGGCGGCAGGCGCAGAAGGTCGTATGCGTAGCCCTGGTCATCCACCAAGGTCGTGCTGGAGGTCATGCTCCATCCTACTCGTGCAAACGTGAACACAAGTACTTCCATGGGCCCTCGAATCCCATCCCAAGACATCATATTATTGAGCTTTTCCTGAAGGGCCATCCAGCCCCTGTGTAATCTTCCCAGCGACACCCTCTGGTCCCATATGAAGTTGCAGTAGGCCTTCAGGGGCTCCAGCGTGGCATGAAATATGGGGTCATACATCCTATCCTTCTGAGTAGCCAATACCAAGGTCAGTGAGTTCTGCCCAGGACTACGTCCACAGAGCGTTCCAGCAATGCTTCTTAAGCTGGCCGACTCCGAAGGGGTCGTCCCTGCAACTGCAGCGCCGTGACCAGCAGCTGGGAGCAGTCCAGTGCGCCAGAGAGCGGTAACCTGTACACCCGCTCCACGTCGGAGCATCTGTAGGCGTGGGAGACGAGCACGACGAGACTTCATTCTGGCCTGCGCCTGCTTCCGAACTGGACGGACCCCTGGCATCTCGTGTCCGAGGTTTCTTATCCATTATTTGGCCGTCAAGCGCAACCTTCGAGCTCTACCTTGGTACCCTTTCAACGCTCTCTTCGCATTCGTCACGAAACCTGACTTCTCGAACTTAATGAGCATGCCTAACTCGCCAGCGTCCTGGCTGAACATGTGCACCGTGCGCTGCAAGTTGGATGCTTCTGTCATGTCGCTACCCGTCCACTGGAACGTGCTGTCATCTACAAGCGCACGTGGTATAACATTTTTGTACATGCTGTGCACTCGCTCAATCGCACGACATGTCAGCACCGTCAACAAAGTCGTGGCGTGCGTGAATCCGGCCAGTATGCCCTGCTGTGCTCTAGTTGGAATGCTCCAACAACCATATGCACGAATGACTCTAGGCTGCGCGTAAGTCTCCAGCAACAACCATATCAGCCGCAAGGGAAACGACATATTCTGCGCTTCCGTCATGAGCGCTTCCGTCAGGAGGAGGAGGAGGAGGAGGAGGAGGAGGAGGAGGAGGAGGAGGAGGAGGAGGAGGAGGAGGGGGAGGGGGGGGAGGGGAGGAGGAGGAGGAGGAGGAGGAGGAGGAGGAGGAGGGAGGAGGAGGAGGAGGGGAAGGGGGAGGTCGCGGAGGAGGAGGAGGAGGAGGAGGAGGAGAGAAGAGGAAAAAGGTCATGAGCGCTCCGTCAGGAGGAGGAGGGGAGGAGGAGGAGGGGGAGGAGGAGGAGGAGGAGAAGGTCGCGGCCAGGAGGAGGAGGAGGAAGAGGAGGAGGAGGAGGAGGAGGAGGAGGAGGAGGAGGAGGATGAAGAGGTCATGAGCGCTTCCGTCAGGAGGAGGAGGAGGAGGAGGAAGAGGAGGACGAGGAGGAGGAGGAGGGGGAGGAGGAGGGAGGAGGGGGAGGAGGAGGAGGTGGAGGAGGATCAGTAGGAGGAGGAGGAGGAGGAGGAGGAGGAGGAGGAGGAGGAGGAGGAGGAGGAGGACCCCCCCGCCCGCGCCGCCCTTCGATCGCACCAAGGCCCCTCAGACGAAGAGTCGTTCTTGCGTGCAGCCAGTCTGCTCTCTCCTCGACCACACGCAAGAGTGGCCCCTGGGTAAGGGTGACCTGGTGCGCGGCTCATCGGGGACCGCGGGGGGACCAAACGCGAGCGCGCAAGTCGCTACTGCCCCATGAGGCTCGCGCCAAACGTCACTCGGGCGAAAGGCCACTCTTGCGTGTAGTCGAACTTCGCCTCTCTGTCGCGCCCCCCGCCCCAGCCTCTGTCACTCGAATGTCCTGGTCGCCGTGCGCGAACGGGCAGTTCTCGTCGTTGCACGCGCCCTGCAGGAACAGCTTGCAGAGCTGGCGGGGCGGGCGGGCGGCAACGGGGAGTGGCCGCGCGGAGCTCTTCCCCCGTGGGCGCAGCGGCATGTTTGGACAGGCGCGTTCCTTTCTACTCGCTGGCACACTGCTGGCAAACGGCCTGGCTCCGCCGAGGGTGCGTTTGCGACCCCCCATGACATTAGAAGAAGAAAAAACACACAAACAGAAACTTTCGGCGCTCCGGGCGGACTTCTTGGACTCGCGCCTGGACCCCCCTTCCTGGCGCGCGGAGCGCGCCTGGGGCGGATCCGAGAAGTCCGCGCGGAGCGCTAACAGTTTATGCTTATGTGCGTTTTTTCTTCGACACGTCGAGGCGAACATGTTCTTTCCTGCAGGGCTGAACCTAAGCGGTATTTTTCGTTTTTGTTTTGTTTCCGTTTTCCCTCGTTTTGTCTCGAATCCGCCTTCACCGCAAAACGAAGTCGAAACGAAAACGGCCCACGAAACCGCCAAAAACACCGTTTGGGTCCAGCCCTGCTTTCCTGGACGTCTGCGAAACATGGAGCGCACCTAGTGAGCGTTCACGGCACGGTCGCCGTGGCTCGGCGAGCCCAGCTGTCGCCGAGGACACCTGGACGTCGCTTAAGGGGGGGGCGATCGTATTAGGTAGGGCGTGTCCCCCTACAGGCGGATTTTGGACGAAACAAATACCCCCCCAAATGCCCTCAAATAGTCAAATCATACTTTCAAAAATCGTCCCCAGACTATTTCTTGACTATTCTTGAACATTCCTCCTGTAGAGGGACAGGCCCGACTTGACGATAACTGGTGAGAGGTGCATGCCCGGGGTGGAAGCAGCGGCTGCCGGCGCGCGGGCAGAGGCTGCTTCTCTGCTCGGTGAGTTGCGCTTCGCCGGGGGCAGCGCGGCAGATCTTGCAAGTCTCGATGTGCAGAGCCGCGCGATCCCGAAGGCGCCGAACGGAACAGCGCCTTCCCAAGCGCCCGCGACTGCGTGGGGCGCCTGCTGTCCGCTCGTTTAGTTCTACTTGTTAGATATATATATATATATATATATATACACATATATGTATATATACATCTATATATACACATATGATAAGAAAAAACGCCTTTCGTGCCCCTTCTAGGCCCCAGGGGCCCCCTTTAGGGCCCCCTTCTTCACCCCCTCACTTATCGCCCCCCCCAAAGACGCAACGCCCGAAGAATGCGCGCAGACGCGGTCGCGGAGCGCAAAGAGCGCAGTGAGCAGTCAAACGCGTGGTCCTGTGTCTGTGCGCCTGCATTGGCCTCGATGCCCGCTACTGTCTGTGCCCCTGTGTGTGTGCCTCTTGCTGCCAATCACAGGCTGTTGCATGGGACCACCTATGCCTTGCAAGGAGGTGTGGTGGAAAGGCAGAGATAGGGGTGAGCAACCAGCGCGGAGGCATGCGCAAGGACAGAGAAAGGGCAGGGACAGGGGCAGAGATTGCGCCAGGGGCGGGAGAGCATGAGACCCCAATCGCCTTCCATGATCGCCACAAACATGAACCTGGCGCGACCTAGTTATGGGACGGCGGCCGCGGAGGAGGGCAGCAACCGACCGCTGGCGGCAAGCGCACTGGGCCTCAGGCAGTGTACGTGGTGCAGCACGGCACAGCACAGCACAGAAATTGCAGCACGCAGCGCCGCAGGCAGACCGCAGCGCCCGGGAAGGCCTCGGGAAGGGAACGCGCGGGCACACGCACCGAGCGCAGTGGCCTGGACTGCGCTGCAAGCGCCAAAGCCAGCGGACCACGGTGTGCCTTCTCCATTCTCGAGGTGCTCGTCAAGCCGTTCTGGGATGATAGTCGTCGGCCTGCTTTCCTGCGTTCCTCGACGCCCCCGCCGCATTCCCGGGGCCCCCCAGTCCCCCTTCACGGTCTACTGCAAAACCGGCCTCTGGGTCTTTCCAGTAATGCGTGGCAGGTGATTGAGGAAAAAATTTGGGGGTGACGATGAAAGCAAGCGAGCGTTTTCTGATTCGGCGTTTCGACAGTGGGCGGACGGGGGGCAGGGGTGGAGGGGGGGGGTCTGGTTCTGGACCTCTGCGAAGTGCGACTGTTCGGAGCAGTGCGTCCTATGGGGGAGTGACTCCACCCCATGGGCGGGGGAGGCGGGGGGGGGGTGCGCGGGCCCGCGCCGATCGGCAACACAATGAATACGAGAACGATCACCAACTCGTTCCGCCGGCCCCGTGGCCCCCATATTGGCGAGCCGAGGGGATCGGCCCATGGAGGGCACGCACTTCGGACTGGCCCCCCTGGGTCGTCCGGGAGGCCAGGGGGGGGCCCGAGGCCTGACACTCTGGAGCGGCGGGGGCGACGACTCGGACGGGTTTAAATCAGGTCGGGCCTGTTCCCCTACAGGGGGATTTGGGGCGAAACATTTGAAAAACACGCCCAACATGCTCACCAACAATTAAAAAAAAACGTCCCCAGGTTATGTGTTTACTATTTTCGGACATCCTTTCTATAGAGGGACAGGCCCGACTTAAGGTTAAAAGCCACCCCTGACGACCTACAGCCGAAAATCTGATCAAGAAAATCATCGCTTAAGAAACCTGGGCCAACGTTCCGCAAATGTCTCAAGACGAACCTGGCCAAAGTATTGTGTCAACGCCGGAGGGGCGAAGGCGCTCCAGAGACTGAGCCAGCTTTCCGGCAAGTTGGCCAAGGAACGCTGGCCCAGCTTTTCGAGAGGAGGTTTCTTAAGCAAATGCTCGGCTGTACGGCTGTCCCGGGCCTCTCCCAGGGGCGCCCCCGAGCGGGGGTGGGGCGCGGTGGCGGGCTGACGACTCTCAGCAGGGTGATCGCCGTGGGCCGAGGGCTGACACTCCTGCCTCCCCTCCTCCTGCCGCCCCCCCCCGCACCTCCTCGAAGGTGCCCAGGGCGCGCCGCCCTCCTCCTGCCTCCCCTCCTGCTGCTGCCCTCATTCTGCCTCAATCCTCCTTCGGTCCTGCTTCCCTCCTCCTGCCTCCCTCCTCCTGCCGCCCCCGCGCACCTCCTCGGAAGGAGGCGCCCCAGGCGCCGTTAACGTGGCAGCGCGGAGGGAAGGACGACTCAGAAAACTGGTTTGGTAAGAGCCCGAGGCGGCGGTGCCCTCGTCGTCGGCGTCGTCGTCGCCGTCGCCATCGCCGTCGCCGTCGCCGTCGTCGTCGTCGTCGTGGCCGTCGTTTTCGTGGTCGTCGCGGCCGTCCGCGTGGGCGAACGGCGCGCCAATGACGACGACGACGATGACGCCGACGACGACGCCGACGACGATGACGACGACACCGCCGAAGACGACGACGACGACGTGGCCACCGCCACTGGATGCCACCTCCTCCTGCACACCCCCTCCCCCGTCCACCTCCACCTCCCCTTCGCCTCCCTCCCGCCTTCCCCGGGCCCCCTTCCGCCGGGGAAGGGATGGCAACCTCCTACGACCTTCGAAGGCGAGGCCCTTGCTTGAATGCCTCCTTTGGGAGTCCTGAGCGTTTGCCCAGAGATGCTCAGCCCTCGGCCCCTTCCACCGAGGAAGGGGTGCCAACTCCTTCGATTAGGTCGGGCATGTCCTTCGATCAGATCGAAGACATTCAAAGCAAAAATAATCCAAACATCGTCCCCTGACTATGTTTAACTACCTTTGAATATTCCCCCATGTAGAGGGACATGCCCGACTTACTCCTTCGACCCTCGCAGGCGAGGCCCCTCGCTGGAACGCCTCCGCTGGGAACCCAGAGCGCTTGCCCCGAGATGCTCACCCCGTCGGCCCCTCGACGACAGGGGCGCGCTGCGGAGAGCGCTGGGTGCGGAGACTGGAGCATGGGACGCAGAAGGTTAGTTTAGGTTAGGATTTGGGGCGAAACGTCAAACATACTCGAAACATGTTTCCCACATGCTCAAACATACTAAAAAACGTCACCCGACTATGTGTATACTATGTTTGAAAATTCCCCCCTGTAGAAGGACAGGCCCGACTTAACGCGAAGGACATATGAATACTGCCGAGCAGGGGGGAAAGTGAGAAGGAAAGACCTTCTCAGAATGCGGCGGGGCTTTTCAGGAGCCCTCACGCCTTCTGATAAGCTTCTGCGTCTTGGGGTGAGGCCCAGGACACTTCTCGGAGGGCCAGGAGACTTCCGAGCCTCATGAGAAGGCCCGCCCCTTCCCCCCCTCGCTCGCCGCCGAAGTACAACTTGGAGGTCGCTGGGAGTGGCAGCGTTGTTTCCAGGGACAGATCCCAGTACGCTCGGCCAGCCCACATGATCTGCAAATGGCAACCCCTACGACCCCATTCACGATAAGCTGAGATCCTAGGCTGTCGCTAAACAGCGATTGGGCTGCTTAGTTTTACCCTTACCCAACGAGCATGACCCCCTTCTCCGTCGCCCCAGAAACAGATCGCGCTCGCTGCCCCTCAGCGAGCTTCAAAGTACCACCAGCTTGTGATGTATCGTTTGCCGAGCGGTGCGGCCACAAAGCGCCCGCCACGAAGCATGTACTGCAACATTTCTCGGCGCGCGCGTCGCCCCCGGGGGGGGTGGGGGTGGAGCGACGCACACGTCGGGGAAACCAGACGGTACTGATACCGCTACTTCCCATGACCTCTCCCGGGGTGCGTTCTGACCAGGATCTCGAGGATAATCCAGCGGTGGCGACGAGGGCCTCCCAGGATGGCCAAAAAGGAAGAAAGCGAGGGAAGGGCAGCGGGATGGGTACCCTTTCCTCCTCCTGTGCCGCATCGTATTCACATGCTGGAGTGGCGCCGAGAGCAGGGCGCGGGCCTTGGTCTTCTGGAGGTTGGGCGCCGAGCGCAGCTCCTCCGGGGAGTGCGCGTACCTGCAGGGGGGGGGCCGCCGGGGCCACTGGACCGTTCCAGGTTGTCGGAAGCCCGTGAAGGCCAGAACGCGAATGCAATGTTTAAAACAGTTCTGGCATGGGGGAACTGGATCCTGAAGGAAACGGGTCCTGGACCCCGGGGCCTTCCCCCAGGACGAGCTGTCCATCCTGAGTCGGTTTCTGACGGTTCTGGGGCCAGTGGAAACGGTAGAAAGCGTCAGGATCCGATTCCCCGAGGGCCACAATGGGAGGGCCAACGACTTATGGTTCTTCGGGCTCTCGCGAGGGCGTTCTTGGAGCCCTCTTGGCCTCCGCCTCCTCCTCCTCCTCCTCCTCCTCCTCGTGCTCCTCCTCCTCCTCCTCTTCTTCCTTTTCCTCCTCTTCCTCCTCTTCCTCCTCCTCCTCCTCGTCATCCTCCTTGTCCTCCTGCTCCCTCCTCCTCATCCTCCTCCTCCTCCTGCCCCTAGGCCTCCTCCTCCCCCTCCCTGGACCCGTCCAGTGACAGACCTGGTCCCTCCTGGAGCCACCGGCTCCCTCCCGTGGCGCTCCACGCCCAGTCCTGCTGGCGTCAGATGTTTCGGGACCGCGGCCCTGGCGACAGCAGGCCTCTGGAGTGTCGGTCCCTGTCGTCACCCTGCGAACCTACATCTGGCGGCGCGCAGAAGGGGGTGGAGAGGGGGGGCAAGGCCATCTTAGAAGGAGGCTGCGCCTTAGAAGGCGCCGGCCTTACATCTATAGACAGGGCCCGCGCCTTCTAAGAAACAGGGGTGCTTCTAAGAAGCCCTCCCCCCTCCCCCTTCCCCCGTCTACGCGTGGCTGATACATGGGCTTGTTCTCACTATCTGGGCTCGTGGTCAACTTGATTTGGTGGGGGGCTAAGTCCATCAGAGCCGTCGTATGAGCCTCAGCACTAGGCTTTCTGTGTGGTTGTGTCTACACGACCAGTACGTGTTGAAGGCCACACCTACGTGGAAGGTATGCATAAACGGGGATCCGACCTGGCCGCTGGCCAAGAATCTTCAGCAATGCTGTGAGAGAGGCTCGTCAGGGGCGCATTCGGAATTCCCCCTCCTTGGTGTAACGCACTCTCCCTTCCCTTTGTGAACTGCTCTTCCCGTTCCCATTCTTCTCCTCCTCTTCCACCGCTCCGTACTCCCACTGCCCATCTCCCTGCACTGCTCCTCCTCCTCCTCCTGCTGCTGCTCCTCCTTCTCCTCCTCCTCCTCCTCCTCCTCCTCAGCCATGCGGGTCAGATCTTTGCAGAGATATGGCCGCGCGGTGGCTCTCCCTACACCATCTTGCCCCCCCCTTTGCACGTTGCCCATGCGATGTGGCGGGCGGCTGGCCGCTCAATGCAGTATACGCTTACCGTAGGTACCTATAATCCGATGATCGCGAATTGCCGCGACCGCCAGGAGGACATCGTGAACTCCGTCTCCAACTTCGATGCCCTGGCACTCATCGGCACCCAGCAGAAGGCTACGACAGGCTGCTCAGTCAGGCGGAGGCTTCTCTGTGGGCGAGTCGTGGTGGAAGCTGGGTGGGCTGTTTCTGAGCATGTTACTCGTGCGTGTGGGTGTGCTATTGTCTTCGGTCGTCGAGTTAGATCAGAACATATCGTGCGGTGTGTTGCAGCACCTGCTCCTCTGCAGTGGCGTGGTCTTGTTTGCCGAGCTCGGAGTGGTATTCTAGACTTGACTGTTCTTGCGCTTTACTTTCCTCCACGACCTCGCACATCAGCGGCCTGGGCTGCTTATGAAGCGACGTGTTTTAAGCTTCTCGAGTGGGCCGCACATGAGCTGTCCATTATTCCGAGTCGGTCCACGCCCGTGGTTTGTGCTGACGTCAATGACGGAGTGGGTATGCATAGAGTCGGCCTCGTGGGTCTACGACGGGCTCGACACTGTCCCAGAGGAAAACGCCACCCAGGGGTTCGGGATCGGGCCTCGCTTCTCCGAACTACTTGCTGTGCATGATTTACAGATTGCGAATGCGTACAAGGGCTTCGCCCCAACCTTTTTTGGCCCGCAGGGAACCACGAGTTTCATTGACATGATCGCACTACCACGACCTCTTGTCTCTGTTTTGAAGAGTGCGGGCCCCCTGCATCGCCTCAGTCGCGGGTTACAGCTTGGTCGTTGCAGACGTATTCTAGATCATCTTCTTGTGCACGCGGCATTTCCTTATGTGCTGGCCGCTGACACTTCCTTGAATAAGACGCCCTCGAGGGTTAGCTGGGATTACGACGCACTGATGATGTCATTGAGGCGGGGCTCGCAACGACGTGAGTTCTTGGAGAGTATGGAGGCACGAATAGCACAGGATTCTGCACACATCGACACCCTCAAGGGCCAAGGCACGGCCGACGCTCTCTTTGATTATCTCAACAATACCATGATTGAGGTTGGTCGACCCTTCTTTTCTCGTGATCGTGTCAGACCCGCTCGTCAGCTCGCAGCCGAGAGACTAGAGTTGCTCGAGGTCAGGCGTCGTATACGACACGAGCTTGCTGCTGTTTCTGAGGAGGAGGCGGAGGAGGTCCTGGAACGTCTTCGGGAGATCTCTAAGGCTAATTCCAGATATCTTCGACGGCAGCGGAAGGAGTACCAGGGGGAGGTGATTGAGGAGATGAATGAGATGTGGAGGCATCGGCGTTTGGCCGAGGTGGCACGTCTGGCACGACAAGCATCAGGCAGTCGTTTTGGGCAAAAAAAACGTGATTACCTGGGCGTCCGAGGGGTTGTCGAGACAGCCGAGGTTTTGCTCGAGCAGTTTTCCCAGGCCGGGGCCGACGGGGGCATGCAGGCCTCCCAAGTTTCGAGTTGGGATGAGTTTCGTGATGCTTGTATGTTCGCTGCTCCTGAAGCGCGGGAGATCACCAGCGAGGAAAGAAGAATGCGTATGCTGATCTGGTTGGAATTCGTAGGGGGCTTCTTCGTGCAGGAAAACGACGTGCGGTACCTGAGTGGGCTCCCCCTCTGGAACTCTGGTGGCTCCTGCTGCACCCCCAACGCAGGCTCAGCTCTCGAGGACGGGGTCTCGGTAGTCAGGCTCGTCCTCCTGATCCTGAAGGTTTCTGGGATGTCTTGAAAACTGGGCTTCAGAGGATCCGCAGTTGCAGGGCCACTCCTGTTCGTTGGCATCGTAGTCGCGGGGTTCCCCTTCCACGCAAAGATCATCGTACCCGATGGATTCATCTCTTAGATCCTCTGGGCAAGCTCTGGATGTCTGGACTCATGGGGCAGCGGGGGCCTGGTCAGTATTGCTATGCAGATCACGGCTTTGTGCCCCGTCATCGGCGCGAAGAATCCCTGTTGGTCCAACACATCGCAGGCTTTCACTTGCAGCGTTCTGGAATGTCTCACATTACCAACTGTCATGACCTAGCCAATGCTTTTTCGTCCAGCAGCTGGTCTTGTATGAGCATGACTATGCATCAGATGTTTCGTCCAGGCTCTGAGTCGTTTGGACATCAGCGCTATCAACGAGCTACAGTTACCCTTGCAGGCTGCGATCGAGATATCACTCTTAGGCCTGGGTGTGGAGGGCTGATGGGGGACGGGTTCGCTGTGCGGAGCTCCGTTCACACGTTCGCCCCCGTCGTCGAGGAGTGGCAGGATATGCAGAGAGGATGGGACCCCTACGTGGATCAACTCGTCGTTCGGTCGCCGCTGGGAGGGGAGGTGGATCTTTCTCTGACCAAGTATGCCGACGATCTTACTAAGAAGCTGATTGGAGGCCGTAGTACGTCTGCCGCGTCGCTTGCCATCGCCAGCTCCTACTCTAACCAAGACTTAGATGCGTGTCTGGGTCCTGCTGGGTACAAACAGAATCTGACAAAGCAAGATACTCTATTAAGCTTGTTTGGGCGCGGAGTTGGATCCGCTTATCAGGTGATTCGTTCTGGGGATGTTCGCTTTCCTGGGAAACCGTCGCAGCTGGTCAAAAGTCGTGGGGCTATGATGGGGACCTCATCTCTCTACTTCGGCCAGGAGCTTAAGGCGAGGCTGGCGGCGGTCCGAGCTGGGTGGCATTCACTCGGGTCTTTTTGGCATCTTGCTGGAGTGCCGCATCGTTTCCGAAGGTGTATGCTGGTATGCAAAGTGTATAATACCGCACTGTCTGGCCTGGAGGCCTTTCTGCCGTCCTCTGCTGATTTCGCGAAGCTCACGAGTACGGTGGCAGCGTACGCACGCAAAGCCATGCGAGGTGCTGCCTGTGACCGTGACGCTCACGGACATCCACGTTCGCTCTCTAACCTTGAGGTTCTAAAATGGTGGCGTCTGGTACCTATTGATCTTGAGGCCCGTATTCGTCGTTTGCGTCTACTCCAGGAACTAGTAGGACATCCTGAGGAGCATAGGCAAGTCTTGGGGGCTCTTCTTGGCACTTATGGAGGCAATGGCAAGGGGCCCTTCTATGCTGTGTTCACCCCTTCTGGTCGTCTGGAGGCCACGGCTCATCCGTGGGTTCGGAGGCTCTGGGAAGATCTCGAGACCCTGGAGGTTCTGGATGAGGGAGGGGCTCTGCTGGACTATCTCGATGGGCGCTTTTTGCTACTCTTTCGGGATGAGGAGGCGCGGGAAGATTTCCTACGTATCGATATGAGACAATTGAGGAGTAGATTCTATTATGTTTCGATTGCCCCACCTAATCATGTACCAGATCTGGAATGTAAAGTTTCTGAGCCTCCTGTTCATGTGTTCGGGCGTGATGGTGCCTATATATGTCAGCTTACTTGTAAGGATGGGATGGTGTGTAACGCTGTTCTTCCCGATCGGCGTGCGGTTCATATTCATATTGTTGCACGACATGGTCATCGGATGGTTGCTCATATTATTGCTCTCAGTAATCAGCGTCCCGTGTGTAGTACTATATTCAGTTCTCAGGTTACATGTCGACGGCATCTTGTGCTATCGTGTGCTCGGGGGTTCTGCAAACCAAATGCTTCTCGCAACCTGGTTCCGCTTGCCGTCCCCTCGACGTTGCAGTGCCCTCTGTGTGACGTGGCCACGGGCTCGTTCCAGGCATTGCAGAACCACTTGATCTCTCATTTACATCCCTGCCCACTCCCAGCGCCACCTGACACAGATGGACGGCGCCCCGGCCTGGATGGCCAAGGTCACGAAGTCCGCGGACGATCACGTCGACAAAAAATCCAAGGTCGTCGCGGCGGCTCGTGCCAAGGGCGGCGACATCCTACGCCAGCTGGTGGCGATCCTCGTCAAGCTGAGCCTGGCCAACAGCGCCGAGCTTCGCGACGTGTGCGGAGTCGTATACATCACCTTTCTCATCAAGTCCGACCAGCCCTCCATGAAGGCCGCCCGCGACGCAGGGCAGAGCTATCACGCCGAGGTGCAGCGGCGCAAGCAGGCCAGCGAGGACCTCTCCACGCTCGGCCCCCCGTATGTGCAGATCTGGAGCGCCCTCATCCAAGCGATTGGGACGGATCCCAGTTGCAGCGACGAGGTCCGCAAGAGCATCGAGACCTACTGGAAGGACGTGTTGGTGCCCATGCCGCTCGAGAGGGTCGGAGAACACGTTCGCCATTGCCGTGTACGAAAAACCCGCAAGGTCGAATCGAAGGACGAGCGGATGCGTCTGACCTTCGCCGTGGACGGGGAGTTCAAACCTCTGGAGAGGACCCTTGTTGCCTATTTCTCGTCGGCGTCGGTGGCAGGCGAACGCAAGCTGGGCCCAGCTCCCCGTGGCGCGCTCGAGCGCGAGGCATCCCGTCTCCTGGAGAAGCTCGGCGAGGGCAGGAAGGAGAAGAAGGAGCAGGAGGACGCCTGAACATGACTATTGGAGTATTGCATGAGAATTTGATCGGCTCTCAGTCTTCTGGAGTATTGGCCTCGCAGGGTTTGACTCCTGGTGCAGAGACTTTGTCTGGTACAGCTTCTGGAGTACCTGAAGTTCGTGCTGTGCGTGCTGCGGACCTACCCGTCCGAGCTGGTCTGCCCCCAGAGGTTCCTGTACGAGGCCCCGCTCCAGTAGTGTTCCCGAGTTCTGAGGCCAGTAGCTCTTTTACGAATGGGGGTGAGGGGGGACCCGTGTCTGTCAGCGGTGCCTTGCCGAGAGCTCCCCTCCCCCCGAACTTAGCGTGTAGTCAGCGTCTCGCCGAGTTGGTCGCTCGCGGTTTTTTCCGATCGAACCCCCCTCCTCGGCCTGAGCCTCCTCCTCGATCTCCCCCTGGTCTGCGGCCAATTCGTGAGCTTTCGGATTCTTTCGTGCCGATGCCTCGACGCTCCCGTCGTTCGAGGCCTCCTCGGCCGCCGTAGGGAATTCGGGTCTGTATGGAGTGGTGCCCATCACCCCCCTCGCTGGCATCCCCCAGCTTCGGGCGGGTCGAGGGCCTCAGATGGTGTCCCCATCAGCAGCGCCCGCTGGTGAGGGAAGTCGCGGATTCACCGCCACTCAGATGCTACTTTTTTAGTTCCTCCGCCGTCAGACAGTGGACAGCATCCGAGAGTCCTTGCTTGCTTGCTTGCTCCTCCTCCTCCTCCTCCTGTGGCCCGGGGAGGGCTCAGCGAGACCGAAAACACCTCCTCCTGCTCCTCCTCCTCCTCCTCCTCTTCCTCCTCCTCCTCCTCCTCCTCCTCCTCCTCCTCCTCCTCCCCACTCCTGTGCCTGCTCCGTGCCGCCTTCCCCTGGTCCCGCCCCTGGGCCTCCGGCCCTCCCCCTCCCCCTCCTCCTCCTCCTCCTCCTCCTCCTCCTCCTCCGTCCCTCCCCGCCCCCTCCTCCACCTCGTGTCGTTCGTCTTCCTCCTCTCGCGCGCCGTCCCCCCGTCTTCCCCGAGGCTGCCCCTCCTGCTTCGCTGTCCGCACCTCGCTCTGCTCGATCGCCTCCTTTCTCGCTCTCTCTCTCTCTCTCTATTCGTCCACGTCCACGTCCGCCCTCGCTGTGTCCCTCGTGCCCCCTCCCTCCAGCATCCTGCCTTATTGCACTTTGTCACTTTGTTGTTCTTCTCTATTTCTATGTATAAATACGTATATGTATTTGAATACGCATGTTGAACATACATACATATATGCATATATGCTTAGCTCTCTTTCTCTCTATATCTCTCTGTCTCGCTCGTTGCCGGATATGCTCCTCTCTCTCTCTCTCTTTCTCTCTCCCGCAACCCATGTGAGGAAAAGGGTGAATCGGCAGTGTGAAACCGTTGGGCACCGACGCCGTCACCGCCACCGCCAACGCCGCCGCCGTCTTTTCGGCCACAGATGTCGCCGCCGCCGTCGCCGTCATTGCCGGCGTCGCCGACCAACGCGCCTGCACGTGTTGGAGGCGCACTTGCCCCTTTCGAAGAAGGTGCACATCTTCGTCCTGGCAAGAGCCGGCCCGCAAGGGAGGGCACGACACGATGAGACCGAACAACCGCCGACATCGTCGCCGTCGTCGTCGAGCACGCAGAGTGCAGCAGTTGGCCTAGTTTGCAAGGTGGACGTTTTCAGAGGAGGAACAGGTACCCATACCGCGAACTTTCTCCTGGTTTCCCCTTTGTTGACCTCCTGGGAGGCCCTCGTCGCCTCTTCTGGATTCGCCTCGAGAGCCTGGTCAGAACACAGAGGTCCGGGGAGTAGCGGCATCGGTACCTTTTTGGCCCGAGGCTGGTTTATGGCTTGTGCGCTCTTGGGGCTTCCCGGAGCCTTCGGACACGGCAGTGTGAGATCCCGCTCTCTGGTCGATCCCACCGCACGCACGTTGCAAAATTCGACGGTCTCTGCTGCCCAGAACACGGACAGCGCACCCTCCCAGCAGAACGCGGAGGGCGTGTGCGCCCATCCCGGGTTCAGCCGCAGCCCCTCCCAGGAATGGTGTACAGACGCCAGTCCACAAGACACCTTCCATAGAAGGAGAAAAAACCACATTGACATAATTTGTTGGCGCTCCGCGCGGATTTCTTGGACACGCGCTGGAGCACTCCCCTGCGCGCAAGGGGCGGCGTCGGAGGCGCCGCCGGGGGGGGCCCGGCGCAGATCCGAGACATCCGCGCGGAGCACCGAGAGTTTCTGTTTCTGGAGGTTTTTCTTCTTCAAACAGAGGAGGTCAGTCCACGAGTCACCTTCAACAAGAAAGACGGCACGACCTCACCGCAGTCGCACCGTTCCCCTCGAAGCCGTCCTCTTCAATGGCATACTCTGCGCTCCGTGCCCAGGCCGCGCTGCCGTCGCCCTCCCACTCCTGCAGGTGGCGGCCAGTCCCCTCCTCCTCCTCCTCCTCCTCCTCCTCCTCCTCCTCCTCCTCCTCCTCCTCCTCACAAGAAGCCCTCCACGAGAAGCCCATACCCAGGGGCCCCAGAACGTCCGTTGCCTGTTGGTGTGGGAGCGTCTCGCGCTCTCGGGAGGTCCACGGACTTTTTTGTTGGCGCTGGAAGACGCCGCGCCCTCCGCAGCAAAACGCCATCGAAACCCCGGGCAGCCTGGAGGCACTCAGGGTGCCTCTCGGCAATGGGGCCCTCCGCTGTGGTCGCACCCAGGCCCCTCGAATGTCGTCCTCCGATGTGGCCTGCTGCGCGCCTATCGCCCCCGCCGTGCTGCGCTGCCCTCGCCCAACAGGACGATGCCAGGACGGGGGCGACGTCGGGCCAGCAGTGATGGGCCTGTTTTCCACCACCACCACCACCATCAAGTTGGAGGGGGGAAGAAGGTGGAGGACGAGGACCAGGACGAGGAGGAGGAGGAGGATGAGGAGGACCCCCTCCCCCTCCAACTTATGGTGGTGGTGGTGGAAAGCAAGCCCGTCAAGCAATCGTCGGGCCAGCACACCTCGGGGATCTCTGAGGTCAGGCCGTTCTGGAGGAAGCATTGGGCGCTGCGGCCTTCCCAGAGCGTGCCAGAACAGTGATCTGGGCGCCCGAAGTGTGGTACGGATCGGGGATCTTCTGACCCGGATCAATCCAGACCTTGGTCAGCAGGAATCCAAACAACTGCAATGCAAGAAAACATAACTGCAACGCAAGCCTTTGCAAACCCGGGTCAGCCAATAGGAGCGGCCGCCTCGCGGTCACGAGCGGCTCGCTAACCCGGGTCAGCCAGAGGGGGTCTTCGCAGGATCCTGCAGGATCCAGTGCCCTGGCTGACCCCGTCTGCATCAACCCCCGTCTCCGAGGCTCCAAACGGAAAGAATGGGCACGATGCCGGACCTCGAACGCTGTCCAAAACTGGCAGCGGCCGCTGTCGGGTAGAGGCGGCCTTCTGCCTCGAATGGACAGAGGCCGCGGCGAAACCGATAACGGTGCTTGTTCAACCTGGGCAGGGAATACTGCCGGTCTTCGTACCCATTCTGTCCGTACCCATCTCGACCGTCCCGATCCGAGAACGCTCCGAGACGCCCAGGAACGACCTGTCCCGGCCTCACTTGGATCACCGAGGTGATTGCTAAGTGGATGCGGGGCTATAAGCGGATGCTGGGCTGGGTTATATCTGGCGTAATCTGGTTTATAAGGTGGTCAGGTGTGCCCTATGTGGCGAAGGGTGGTAAGGATCTGGGCATGGGACAAATGAGATCCGCTCACTTAAGGAAGTGAGCGAACCCACTCAAGCAAACCAGGGCACTTGTAACTTGCCTACAAGCTAGATCAGGCCAGACATCACCTACTGTAGTAGCCGCTTATAGGCCCCTACCCACTTGTCGGCGGCGAGCCTGGGGGGAAGTGAGAAGGGGCGGACCTTCTCAGAAGGCTTGGAAGTCCCCCGCTGTCTGAGAAGCTGCCTGAGCCTTCCCCGAAGAAACACAAAACCTCTCAGAAGACGCGAGGGCTCCTGAGAAGTCCCGCCGCCGCTCCTTCTCACGTCCCCCCCTCGCTCGCCGCCGAACTCAGCAACGACCGCGGTGATCGAAGTAGCTGCGCTTGGTTCAATTGAGGAACAAAAAGGCGCATGCCCATAAACTTCGGCGATCCGCGCGGATTCCTTGGATCCGCGCGGATCCCCCTCCCTGGCGTGCGGAGCGTACCAGGGGTGGCGCCGCCAGGGGGACCAAGCGCAGATCCAAGAAATCAACGCGGAGCGCCGAAAGTTAATGTTTATGCCGTTTCCTAACGTCTTCGAATGTAGCCCAGCCCGGTTCAAGGAAGGGAGCGGGAGTCGGCGGAATCGGCAGTCGTGTCGGGGAAAGTCGAACTGGCGGAAATCGGTAGGCCAGTAGGCCTCCATGGAGACATCGGAACCCAGATCGGAACCCGAAACTGAGTCGAATCGGAGTATCGGAGGCCATCGAGTTTGAATCGAATCGCGAACCGAATCGGAAGCATCGAAATGAGCCCTGAGGCTTGGCCTACCCCGATACGCAGCACGCAGCGCGTACCGAATTGCTACGGAGCTCAACAAACAGACTGAAAACGTAGGCATGACGCGACACGCTCGCCCAAATGTGGGGTCAACTCGCTGAGCCAACGCGCACTGCGTGTTGGCTCCGCAGACGGACGTTCTAAGCACGGCACGTGCTGCGCTCCAAGACGGGCATACCGAGGCATGAAAGGAGCCCCGGCCTAACCCCGACCAGTTCAAGGAAGGGAGCGGAACCATAACCAGAGCCCAGATCCGAATCCGAAGCCGAATCGAATCGGAGTATCGGCAACCATCGAAATCGAATCGAATCGAATCGATGGAGTCGAAATGAGACGCATCGGTGATCCGTGGGCGGTTGGGGGGTCCCTGCATCCCTCCCTGTGCCTATCCCCTCCTATCGTTGCCCCTGATTGGCCCAGACCGCTTCAATATCAGAAGAAAATGAACATAGACTTTTGGCGCTCCGCGCGGATTTCTTGGATCTGCGCTGGACCCCCCTCCCTGACGCGCTCCGCGCGCCAGGGGCGGCGCTGGAGGCGCCGCTGGGGGGCCCAGCGCGGTTCTTTCACGCGGTTTACGCGGTCCTTTCGCGTCTTCGAAAATAGCCCCGCCCGGTGCAAGGAAGGGAGCGGGAGCCGGCGGAAATCGGCAGTCGCGTCGGGAGAAGTCGGACCGGCGCGGAAATCGGTAGCCCAGGAGGCCTCGGTAGGCCAGGCGATCGAATCGAGGCCATCGAGTCTGAGTCGAGTCGAGTCGGAGGGAGTCGGCCAGCCGAGCGGCCCTGCTGCCCCGCGGGGCTGCCGCGCCTCACCGCGGCGGCCCGAGGTCCCCCTGCTGGCGGCCTCTCTCGGGGCGGCCTGCCGCGCCCACGGCGCGCCCTCGTCCGGCGGAGATCGCGCGGGCGCGGGCGCGGTGGGCGCAGGAGCTCGCGGGACGCACAGAGACATACGAATACGATCTGTCCTCCGTGGAGGCGCGCGTCCGACCCGAACATGCAGTGCACCAATCTTGTACTACATCGTTTCCCGAGCGGTGTGGCCAGAGAGCGCCCCCCACGACGCATATGCTGTAAGATTTCTCGGTGCGCGCGTCGCCCCTGGGGGGGCGACGCACATCTAGTACAAGTATGTTGGGGGGTGACGCCGAGCTCGTGCTCTGTTCGGAAGCTGGGCGAGGGCTGGCAAACCGTGACTGCTAAAACGGTCTCCCCGTAAGAAAAAAGAGCAGATTCCGGAATAGAACTCAGCTCACCAGATAGTAAGCTAGGGCTCCCAACTTCGCGCTTCGCGCTGCGCGAAGCGCGAATAACTTCGCGCTCTCGCGCCGCCCTCCCAAAGGGAGAATAGGAGGACGAGGAGGAGGGGGAGAAGGAACGAGGACCGCGAAGCGCGAAGCGCGAATAACTTCGCGCCCTCGAGGGAGCCCTTGGTAAGAGGGCTGCTTCCCGGAAGAAGAAATGATCTCCCGGAGCTCCGTTTTAGCAGCCACGGGGGTGCCAGCCTTCGCCTGGCTTCTGATCTGGGCAGGGGCCCAAGGACGCACAAACAAATACACACCAAAACAAAAAGAACGCAAACAATAACGACCCAAACAACGAAATCTAGAAGAACGTTGAGAAAGAGAGAGAGAGAGAGAGAGAAAGAGAGAGAGAGACCAACGGGGTCACGTGCAAATCGAACCAACAAAATTATTCACTGCGTGGAGCTCCCCATGTGTGCATCTGCTCGCATGGACCTGTCCGCCGTGAATGTCTAGGCGCAAGAGCTTTCGAATACAAACGGGCTTCAGTTGTGAAGGTCTGGTCATGAATCTTACTGCGAATGAATTGGAGTGTGAATGAGCCTCAGTAGTACGAGCGCGTCTCTGCGCATGAGCCTGGAGCCTCCTGGGGCCTCCTGAAACCTACTGGGGCTTCCTCGGGCCTCCAGGAGACTCTTGGGGCCTCCTGGGACCTCCTAGGGAGGATTCGTGCCCCAGGAGAGGCCCAATCTACAGCAACATAAGTAAAACAGTTAGGATTGTGTACACAAGAGAAGGACAAACTATATAACAACATACGTATAACATCAAGGACTCGTGCTCCAGGTGAAGCCCAATGTATAGGAGCATACGTAAACACATGGGATTGGAGCCACTCCTGTTGCCTTCTGACGCCTCCTGCTCCTGGGGCCTCTCGGGGCCTCCTGCTGCCTTCCGAGGCCTCCTGGCGCTTCCTGTGGCCTCCTGGGGCCTCCTGTGGCTTCCTGAGGCCTTCTGGAGCTCCATGGGGCCTCCTGAAGCCTCTTGGGACATCCTGTGGCCTCTTGGGTCTTTCTATGGCCTCCTGATGCCTCCTGGGACCTCATGTGGTCTCCTGGGGCCTCCTGGAGCCTGCCTCCTGTGGCATCCTGAGGAGAATCTGTGCCCACGAGTTTGGCCACCAAAACAGGCAAACCGATCGAGACATCCTCAACATCTGGCCCACCTGGGGGGTGAAAATGAGCGCCTCGCTCGAGACATCCTCCAAACCTGCTCAAAAACTTGAAACATCCCGACAAAACGGCCGCGAACGGGACCGTGCAATACCCCTCGGCGGCTCTTCTTAGGGGTGTGAAAATGAGCGCCTCGCTCGAGACATCCTCCAAATCTGCTCCGAAAGCGAAGGACGTTGGGACAGAACAACAAGCAAACCGCTGGAGACATCCCTACAAAACGGTCGCGAACGGGACCGTGCAACACCCCTCGGCGGCTCGCCTTAGGGGTGCTGGAACCAGCGCCCCGCCTCCTCACAATCTGCTGTGGGTTGGGTAAGTCAGACAATGAGAAGGTCTGAGTATGAGGAAGTCTGGGTATGAGTGAGGCCCAGCATGAGTAAGTCTGAGTATGAGTAGGTCTGAGTATGAGTAAGTCAATATGATCAGGTCTGAGTATGAGTAAGTCTGTGTATGAGTAAGTATGTGTATGAGTAAGTCTAGGTATGAGGAGGAGGAGGAGGAGGAGGAGGAGGAGGACGAGGAGGAGGAGTAAGAGGCGTCCAAAGAATAACAAGAACCCCATCTTAGGATATGGGGAATAAATCCCAGGGTTCTCCTACTTGCCTATATTCTGGGGGGGGGTCGTCTTCCCCCCCACTTCCCATATTCTCGCATACCTTCTGATCGGAAGCTGGGCGAGGGCTGGCCAATTCGTGGCTGCTAAAACGGTCCTCCCCGAAGGAAAAGAATCAAGTCCCGTAATAGAACTCGGCTCGCCAAATAGTAAAAGGGCTGCCTCCCGGAAGAGAAATGATTTCCCGGAGCTCCGTTTTAGTTGCCACGAGTTTGACAGCCTTCGCCTGGCTTCTGATCTGCGAAGGGGCCCAGGGACAAACAAATAAATACACACAGTCAATCCCAGGGTTCCCCCTACTTCTTATATTTGGGGGGGGTTCGTCTTCTCCCCACTTCCCATACTCTCGAATATCTTATGTTCGGAAACTGGGCGAGGGCTGGCAATTCCGTGGCTGCTAAAACGGTCCTCCCGGAAGAAAGTAACAAATTCCCGGAATAACACTCAGCTATACATCACCAAATAGTAAAAGGGCTGATTCCGGGAGGAAGAAATGATTTCCCCGAGCTTCGTTTTAGCAGCCACGGGTTTGCCTGCCATCGCCTGGCTTCTGATCTGTGAAGGGGCTCAGGGACACACAAATCAATACACACAATAAATCTCACGATTCCGAATATTTTTACATATTGTTGGGGGTTTCATCTTCCCCCCCACTTCCCATAGTTTCGCATATTTTCTCAGGAATCGACGATTTGATATGTCGGTGTGTTTTTTCCCCTCCTGACTCTGCGGCGGCGAGCGAGGGGAAAAACATAAAGATCGGCAACGGCTGAAACAGGGCTCATATTTCGACTCTTCCGCTTCGATCCGCGATTCAAGCTCGATGGCTTCCGATTGTCCGATTCGATTCGGCTGCGGACTCCAATCTGGGTTCCGATGTCTCAATGGAGGCCTCCTGGCCTGCCGATTTCCAGACTCGACTACCGATTTCCGCCGACTCCCACTCCCTTCCTTGAACCGGGCGCGGCCACTTTCGAAAACGTGAAAGAATGGCGTAAAAGTCAACTTTCGGCGCCACGCGCAGATTTCTTGATTCTGTGTGGCTGTAAAAAAGAAAATAAGTGCAGGCTCGACACATTTCATTGCCGCTGCCAGCGGCACATCTTGGGCATACCGCATTCGTATCTGTCGCGCGTGGGTAACGCAGACGTCATGGACAGAGCTAGCACCAAACCTCTTTCCCAGATTCTGCTTGGAAGGCAACAAAAGTTGTACCACAAAATCGCAGCAAGTGGTCCTTCTTCTTTGGTGCGCAAATGCCTATGTAATCTCGATGGTACTCCCAAGAACTGGTTGGTGCACCGAAGGCGCGGCCGACCCAGGCAGCAGTGGGCTACCGAAGTGTACAAGACAGCGCAGCATATCTGAGATATCCTTGTTTCGTCCTCCACCTCCTCTCCCTCTTCTGTCGCGCTTCTCGTCTTTTCCGAAGAGTTGCCAATCGCGCGCTCTTCTGCCCACGCGTCCCTCTGGATGCTCGGCTTAGTGGTGGTGGTGGTGCTTCTGCCATTTTCCTTCGCAAAGATGGCGCTTACGCGAAGCCGTCCACGGATCGCTTATGTACTCCAAATCCCTCATCAATCGACCCCCCTCAAAAAAAACGGCCCCCCTCCAAATGCGACCGAGATATTCCAGACCCCCCTCTTCGACGGGGCGCCTTCATAAACTGGACCCCCTAAGCTCCGGTCCGAAGAAAGCGCCCTAATGAAACGGACCTCCCCAGTTACAAAAGAGGCGCCTTCAAAAATCTGACCAGGGGGACGATGAATGAGGGATTTTGAAGGGGAACTGGGACACACAAATAAATACACACAAATAAAAGGATCCCCCATATTTTCCCATATTTTCTGGGTTTTTGTCTACCCCCCCCCTTCCCATATGTTCCCATATTTTCTGGGAAATCGAGGATTAATTGTGTCTGTGTGTTTCTTTTCCTCCTGAGATTTGGAGTACGCGCGAACGTCGGTGCAGACGGCTCGTTTGTTCTGCGTCCCTCCTCGGAAGCAGGTCGGCTGGGGCCAACCACGTGCCACGGGCCGGCCCGCCACAGATCCGAGGCACAAACACGGCAGAGTCATACTCCGAATCCTCCCCTCCTCCTCCTCCTCCTCCTCCTCCTCCTCCTCCTCCCCCTCCTCCCCTCCTCCCTCCTCCTCCTCCTCCTCCTCCTCCTCCTCCTCCTCCTCCTCCTCCTCCTCCCTCCTCCTCCCTCCTCCCTCCTCCCTCCTCCTCCTCCCCTCCTCCCCCTCCCTCCTCCTCCTCCCCTCCTCCTCCTCCCCTCCTCCTCCTCCTCCTCCTCCCTCCTCTCCTCCTCCTCCTCCTCCTCCCCCTCCTCCTCCCCCTCCTCCTCCTCCTCCTCCTCCTAAATTAAACGTCCCCCGGGTCTAATTTTTTAAGGCGCCTTTTTTGTAACTGGGGGGGTCCAGCTTATTAGGGATCAGGGCGCTTCAAGGATCCAGTTTATTCAGGCGCCCCGTCGAAGAGGGGGGTCTGGAATACCAGGTCGCATTCGCAGGGGGTCCTGTCTTTTAGGGGGGGTCGATTAATAAGGGTTTGGGAATAATTTCTCGGACGTCCGCGAGGATTCCTTGGATCGGCGCTGGACCAACCCCCCCTCCCTGGAGCGCGCCAGGGGCGGTGCTGGAGGCCCCGCCAGGGGGGGCCATGGTGCCGATCCAAGAAATCCGCGCGGACCCCCCAAACATCATATTTACACAGTTTTTTGCGATTCGGCAGAGAACCAGCCTTGGGCAATCTCGTCCTTCAGCACGGCTGCCGAATGACAGCCAGCTCAGCACGAGTGCGAGTCATTGATGCAGGCCGGATGAGGACAGACTCGGCTGAGGATACTTTGGGCGGGCGGGTCTGGAAGATGCAGCGGGGGCGCCGGCTGCTCCAAAACGCAGACCGCCCCGGGAGCGTCCTGGAAACCAGCGGAGCGATTGATCCTCGTCTGAGCCACGTTTGATCGACCCCTCTCTTCACTGACGTGGCCTGGGCCCCACTGGCCGACTTGCACCCCTGGATGGGGACATAGGCTCTTCCCTTCGGGTTTCGAGGGGCCTATGCCCAACTGGGGTGGTGGGGCTGAGAAACCGTGGCCCGGCGGGCACGCGGGCAGATCAAGCGACACCTCTCCCTTTTCGTCCGCGCGCCTGCACCTCGAGTATGACTGCCGCTGTCAAACGGCGGCGGCTGAGGCCGGCTGCGCTCCTCGGAAAACGTGGCGCGCCTGTCGGCGCAGACGCGGCTCCAACAAGCGAAGGGCCTAAACCTCCTCGTCTTCTTGGTGCCCGCTCTGTCGGGCCACTTACCAAACCCGGGTTGGTGGGGCCTGCAGGTGCTGGGAGCAGGTAGCCCGGCGCCTCAGAACTGCTTCTCGGTGACGCCGGCGCTCATGATGCCCGTGGACGACGTGCCGCCGGAGATGATGTTGCCCATCTCGTCCACGATCTCGGACCCGCTCCACTTCTGGTGCGTCAGGGTCTCCACCTTCTGCTCGCGCTCCTGCCGCTGGATCATCTGCACGTAGGCCGCCGCCCCCTTCGTGGCGTAGGACCGCGCGAACAGGTCGATGCTGAGGGCATCGCAGTGGAAGCCTGCCAGGGTGATGAACTGCCAGCAGAAGCCGAGCTTGGCGAGGTCCCATATGAACGACTCCATCTGGGCGTCCGTCATGCCTGCCGTGTCCCAGTTGAAGGACGGGCTGAGGTTGTAGGCGAGCATCTGGTGGGGCACGGCGCCCCGCACCTCCGTGGCGAACTGCTGCGCCTGCGCGAGGATGGGCTTGCCGGTCTCCATCCAGATGCAGTCGGCATAGGGGGCGAACGCGATCGCGCGCTGGATGCAGAAGTCCGTGGAGCCCTTGATCCTGTAGTAGCCCTCCACGGACCGCGCGGAGTCCCAGTCGAAGAACACGTCGCTCACGCCCAGGCTCGCCGCTGCGGCCTTCATCTCTGTCAAGGACATCTTCAGGGAGTCCTTGAGCCACTTGCCCGGGTCCGTGCCCTTGGCCTGGAGGGCCTTCGCCACAGCGTCCGGGAACGTCATGGCCCCCGCGCGCTGCTCCCAGTCTTTGTCAGTGCCCTTCCTGATGGCGTCGTAGAGGCTCTCGACGCCGGGGACGGTGGCGCCCTTGATGTGCGGGTGGTCGATCGGGTCGATGTTGGAATCGATCATGGTGGCCGCCTCCGCGTCGGTGCGGGCAACCAGCACCAGGGGCGAGTTCAGCACGTCGGCCTGCAGGCGGCAGGCGATCAGGCGCTGGATGTGCTCCCAGGTGGACACGAGCACCTTGCCGCCCATGTGCCCGCACTTCTTGGTGCCCGGCTTCTGGTCCTCGATGTGGATGCCCGCTGCACCATTCTCTATGAACATCTTGCACAACTTCATAGTGGCCGTGAGGCCGCCGTGGCCGGTGTCGGCGTCGGCGATGATCGGGTTCATGTAGTCCACCGCCTTCGTCTTGGCGCGGTCCTCGGGGGACATGCGGCGCCGGTCCTCGTACTGCTTCCGGTCGTGGAACAGCTGCGCCTTGAACAACTGATCGACCTTGTTCGGCACAGTGTCGTACGGGTAATCGGCCACGTCTGGGCCGGGCTCGTTGGACGTGGACGCTGTGGAGCTGGACTGCCAGCCACTGACGTAGACGGTGGTTAAATACTTGGCCATCTGCACCACCTGAACTGGGTCCAGCGCGCCGAAGGTGTGGGAGCAGGTGCCCTTGGCCTGGTGCTCGCGCAGCATCGTGTAGAGCTTCTCCGAGACCTTAGCGCCCGTGAAGTGCAGCGGCACGGTGCCCTGGAGCTTCACAACATCCTCAACCTTGTATGGCCGAGTAGTGTGCTTGAAACGCTCCTGACTCATCCATGAAGACATCGCCTTGCAGCGAGCCGCGAAGTCGGCGTCCTCGGTGGCGCTCACGGCCCGCACGCAGACGCCTCCGGTCACGGCGGCGTCCCCAGCCAGCACGTGGCCCTGGATGGCGAGCACGCGGTGCGCCATGGTCTGCGCGGCCCGACGGGGAAGGGGGCGGAGTGGGGGCAAGCTGGTGGACAGCTGGGGCGCTGCCTAAATCGAACACTTGTTCCTAAATGGCTACGCAAGGGGTGCGTTGAATCTACTCAAAATGATAGTGATCATCCTAGGCCTGCCTGACTTCGGTGGCAGATCGTGGGAGCCTTGTGAATCCTCGCAACCTCGTCCTTAGAATTCGTAAACGTCGATCAGTGTCTGGACATCGATGAGACAGCGCCGGCTCATCGTCGATTCGCGTCGATGTAGCGTCCACTAGCGTCGACTGCCGTCGACTAGCATGGACTCGCAGGAGCCAGCAAGATGATATGGGAGGCTCCCGTGGTTTGCCACAGAACCTGACGAGAGTGATAATAAAACTTGTATTCCACCACCACCACCACCACCATAAGTTGGAGGGGGAGGGGGTCCTCCTCCTACTCCTCCTCCTCCGCCTCCGCCTCCGCCTCCTCCTCCTCGTCCTCCTCCTCCTCCTCCTCCTCCTCAGCCTCCCCTCCTCTCTCCTCCTCCTCTCCTCCTCCTCCTCCTACCTCCTCCATCCTCCTCCTCCCTCCCTCCCTCCTCCTCCTCCTCCTCCTCCTCCTCCTCCTCCTCCTCCTCCTCCCCCTCCTCCCCCCTCCCTCCTCCTCCCCTCCTCCTCCTCCTCCTCCTCCTCCTCCTCCCTCCTCCTCCTCCTCCTCCTCCTCCTCCTCCTCCTCCCCCTCCCCCTCCAAGATGTGGTGGTGGTGGTGGTGGAAAACAGGCCCATCAAGTGCAGGTCGGGAAGAGAAGTGGCCCAGCCTGCTCCCGACGCGGTTGCTGGGCTGCTCCCCGGGCGCGGCCGCCGGCAGGAGGGGGGGAACGGCGTGCGCTCGGTGTGGCACGGCTTGGCGAACAACTGCGCGCGCGCGCGTGGCCCGCACTGGGATACCGCGAAAGCCTCGCGGCCAGGGCCGCTGACCCTGAAGGACGGCGACGACGACGACGACGACGACGACGACGTCGACGACGACTTGGCCACTTGGGGCCATCTTCGGGGTGCTCGTGGGGATCACTTGAGGCTCTCGGGTGCCTCTTGGGGGCTTCTTGGGCGCCTCTTCTGGGGATCTCTTTGGGGCTTCTTGGGCGCCTCTTCTGGGGGTCTCTTGGGACGGACGGCGCGAAATTTCGGTTGGTGGTCGCCCTCGGTGGGAAACTGCGTTCGTGTGGCCCACAAGTGCCCAGGGAAAGTGCCCAAGCCAGATACGGCCTCGTCTGGAACAAGGCCGTGGGCGACATCTGTGATAGCAAGGCTTATGTTCAGGTCAGGCATGTCCCCCTACAGAGGGATTTTGAGCGAAACAATAAGAATGTTCAAAAACTACCCCCCAAATGCTCAAAAATAGTCAAGAGATGGTCCCCAGACTATTTCTTGACTGTTCTTGAATACTCCTCCTGTACAGGGGCAGGCCCGACTTAAGCTTACGTGTGAAGCTCAGTTGGCGGCTGGGTACTCCAGCTTGCTCAATGAACGCCCCGTGTCCGCTCCAGCACCCCACGCGCGCTGAGCGCACCCTCTACTACGACCCGGACCTGCTGTCGGCCCTGCAAAGATGAAGGCAGGGAGGCACTTCCCAGCGCAGGACGGCAAGAGAAGCGCTCAACAAGGAAGGGATTCGCGTCTTCAGGAGCTGCTGCGTGACCGCGTTGTCGCGCCCTTTCGCCAGCTGCTTTTCCTCGGCTCGCAGCTGTCAACGAGAGAATGCAGAGAGTGGGGGCACGAGCGGGGGAGGGAGCAGGAGGAAGAGGGAAAGCAGAGGAGGGGGGAGGTAGGGAGCGAGGAGGGAGGGAAAGAGGGAGAGAGGGAGGGGGGGAGGGAGGAGGACGCCGACGAGGGAGAATGGAGGAGTACGAATCTGTGCATGTGCCACTATCTCTCCGCCAAAGAGCCGTGGTGAGACTGTCGTGGGGTGGGGAGGGGAAACGTTGGGGGCGACTGGCTCAGGGGCGTCGGCGACTGCGACGTGGCGGCTTTCTGGCGCAAGCTCGCGCCCCAGTTGGGACGGTCCATGCCAGCCCCAAAAGGAGGACGGCGGAGCGAGGAGAACGAGGTCCGAACAAGGCTCACAAGCAGCTTGAAGGTTACCCTTGGGGTACTGTCGTCCTGTTCCCGACCATCCTGTGGTGTTGGGCTCCCGCTTTGAAGACGCAGCGCCCCGCGTCTTCTCCCACCTGCTGCCCCCCTCCTCCCTCCTCCCATTCCTACCTCTGCCCTCCGCACGCACATTTCGGCACACCCCGTGGCCCCACAGGGAACTCCACTGGAACTCCCAAGAAAGGGGGGGGGGGGGCCGCACGCGATTTCCCACCCATGTCGGCACACCCCTCACACGTTTCGTGGCCCAGTAGGGAATTCCATCGACCCCCCCAGCAAGGGGGGATCACATGCGGGTCTTCTCCACCCATGTGGGCACACCATCGCACATTTCGTTGCCCCGTAAGGCTCCGCCGAAACCCCCAAAGGGGGGATTCGCATGTCGTTATCCACCCACTTCGGAACAACACTCACACATGTCGTGGCCCAATACGGCTCCGCCGAAACCCCCAGAGGGGGGTTCGCAGGCGGTTATCCACCCACTTCGGAACAACGCTCACACATTTCGTGGCCCCACATGGAGCTCCATCGAAGGCCCCCCGAGGGGGGTTTCGCATGCGGTTCTCCACGCATGTCGGCCCACCCCTCACACGATTCGCAGCCCAATAAGGAGCTCCACCGAAACCCCCAGGAGGGTGTTTCGCATGCGTTCCTCCACTCACTTCGGCACCCCTCACACGTCGTGGACCTGTAGGGAGCCTCACATCCCCAAGGATGGGGGGTTCGTATGCGATTCCCCATTTATTTGGGCACACCCGTCACACATTTTAGGGAACCCCACTGAAGTTCCCAGGAAAAGGGCTTGGCGTGTTCTCCACAGCTCCACCGAGGCCCCCTGAAGGAGGGGCTCGCACGCAGTCGCCCACACACATGCACACCCCAAACACCTTTCGCTAACCCACAAGGAGCTCTACGGAAGGCCCCATTGGCCCTGTAGCAGGGCTCAAATGCGTCTCCGCGCCCATTTCGGCACAACCCCCATGCGCTTCTTGGCCCCGTGGGGGGCTCCATCGAAAGCGGTACCGACAACGCGGTACTCACAACTGCATATACTTGGATCCTTCGCCAAAACAGGCGAACGTTCTCTCATTCGGCGTTTCGACGTTGGGCGGAAGGGGGAGGGAGAGGGGGGGGTCTGGCTTTTGCTTAGTGCGACTGTTTGCACCAGTGCATCCTCTGGGGGAGACTCCGCCTGCTTGAAACGGGCGCCAAAGACAGCCAAGATCTACTCCACGGAGGGGGAGGGGGGGTGCGAGGGCCCGCGCCGATCGGCAAAACAAGAAGTAAGTAAACGATCACTAGTTTGGATACGTTGTTTGCCCAGAAACCCAATTGGGAAACGCACCCAAGGCACGGCGCAACCACCCCGCGATTGGAGCCGCGGCCCCGAATGCGGCATGGCACCGCCCCGTCGAAGGGCGCGAGCCGCCGGAGGAGAAGGACGGGGGAGGGGGAAGCGGATGGGGGGGGTGGGGGCGAGCAGGAGGCAGAGGAAGAGGAAGGGGGGAGGGGGAACCCGAAGTGCAGCGCGGGGAGGGGGGACGAGGGAGGGGAAGCAGCCAAAAAGCCTGGACAGGGGTAGGAAAGGGATCGAGGACGCTGGACGCTTGTGATCCTTCCACGTCCTGGCCTCTGGATGCCCTCCACAAAACTTGCAGGGCCTCCTGGAGTCCCGGAAATCAGGATCGGGGGCGGCACTCGGTCTTGCAAGTGCCAAGCGCCTCGTGCCCTTCCTCCTCCTCATCATCATCATCAGCATCATCATCATCATCATCATCATCATCATCATCATCATCATCATCATCAGCATCATCATCATCATCAGCAGCAGCAACAGCAGCAGCATCCTCATCCTCATCCTCATCCTCATCCTCATCCTCAGCATCATCAGCATCAGCATCAGCGTCAGCATCAGCACCAGCACCCGCATCATCATCATCGTCATCATCGTCGTCGTCATCATCATCATCATCATCATCATCATCATGAGCAGCACCAATATCAGCATCAGCATCAACATCATCATCAGCATCAGCATCGACATCAGCATCAGCATCAGCATCAGCACCAGCATCACAATCATTAGCTTCAGCATCAGCATCCGCATCAGCATCAGCACCATCATCATCATCATCATCATCAGCATCATCATCACCATCAGCATCAGCATCAGCATCATCATGATCATCTGCATCGTCATCATCGGCATCGTCATCATCATCATCAGCATCACCATCAGCATCACCATCACCATCATCACCATCACCATCACCATCATCACCATCACCATCACCATCACCCTCATCCTCATCCTCATCCTCATCCTCATCCTCGTCCTCATCCTCATCAGCATCCTCATCGTCATCCTCATCCTCCTCATCATCATCCTCATCATCAGCATCATCATCACCACCACAACCATCACCATCAGCAGCAGCATCATCATCATCATCACCACCACCATCATCTTCATCATCATCATCATCATCATCATCATCATCATCAGCATCAGCATCATCATCATCATCATCATCATCATCATCATCATCATCATCATCATCCGCATCAGCATCAGCATCATCATCATCATCATCATCATCCTCATCATCATCCTCGTTGTCCACATCCTCCCCTTGGCGGCGCGCGCAGGGCGACATTGGGCGGTGGACAAACCTCCCTTTCGTAAACCTCCCTTTAGTGAAAACGACCTAGGACCGAAACCAACGGACCTGGACCCGCAAAAATGACGGCCGCGGCACCCTCTCGCGAACCGAAAACGGCCAATTCGCTACTCGACGTGTCAGGGGAGGAGGTCGATCAACCTCCGAGATATGGGGGGAGGGGGGAAGGCTTCTTAGTAGAAGCACAGGTGCTTCTAAGAAGCCCTCCCCCTCCCCTTAACCCGCCTTCCGTGCGTGGCCGACACCCGGGTGCTCCTCCTCCAGCACCCCGCCCCTCTACAACCTCTTCCTCGAGCGCAGCTGAAAGAAATTCAGCCTGCTCCATCACCGTGTACAGCTCGGCCGTGCGATCTGGTGTCGGACCAGTCTGGTTATGGACGCGGCAATCCGACCTAGAATTCGAAGAGGGAACTCGTTTCGGCTAACACTGCTGTGAAGCGCCCGAACATGCACAGGAAAACCGAGAATTTCACGAGATCGCCTGTTCTTCCTGCTCCCCCTCGTCCTTCTCTAGCTCCTTCACCCCTCCCGTTCTCTCTCCTTTGCCTCTCCTCCTCCTCCTCCTCCTCCTCCTTTGCCTCTCCTCTTCCTTCTCCTCCTCCACCACATCCCCCAGTGTTCCTGCTCCTGCCGCTCCTCCTTCTGCAGCGCCTCCTCCTCCTCCTCCTCCTCCTCCTCCTCCTCCTCCTCTTCCTCCTCCTCCTCCTTCACCTCATCCTCTCTGCTCCCGCCACCTCCTCCTCCCCACCCTCCTCTTCCCCCCGCCTCATCATTCTCAGCACTGCTGCGTTTCCTCCTCAACCTCCTCCACCTCCTCCACCTCCGCCCGTAGAGAAGAGGAAACATGGACTGGGAGCAGCGAGGGGCAAGAAGAGACGGGAGCGGAGGGGACGACGAGAGCCACCTCCTCCGCAGAGGGCCAAGCGAGACAACTGTGGCCCCCCCTGGCATTTGTTCGCGATGGCTTGGCCTCCTGAAGGTTTCTTTCTCGTCGGCACGGCTGGAACGTGTCAGGGTGGACCTAGAGAGGGGTCCACGCACAGAGTTTGAGCGGCTTTGGGCCTGGCGGGAAAGCCGCCGTTGCCTCAATTGGCCCTCTTCCTCCTTCTCCTCCCCGGTCCTCCTATAGAGGCCTCCTAGATGGGGGCCTAGCAGATAAGGTCGGAGGATCGCGCCGCATCGCCAATGCATCGGCGATACATCGCCGACGTCGGAGACGCATCGGCGACGTCAGCGTGGAGCGTATCGGTCTCCACATCGAGCCGCATCGTCGATGCATCGACGATGCGGCGCGATCCTCCGACCCCATCTACCCGGACTCCATCTGGGAGAGCGAGATTATGAGAGCGGAAGGCGGGTGGGAGGGAGAAGAGAGGAAGGATGCACTTTTGTAAGCGTCGGCGCTGCGAGCTGAAACAGTCAAATTGCGGGCAGCATGCTCAGAACCCAGACTCGTCAGGTCTGGATGCGTCATAAAACTCCTTGAAAAAAGTTCCAAGGGCCTGCTGAGAGCCATAATCGACCACTGCAACGAAAATTGTGTAGGCAACCGAAATGCCAATCACTATCCCGAAAGTGGTTGCGACCTCCCCGATTTCAGGGACGGTTATTTTCTGGACGTCGACTGCGAGCAACTGAAAGAAATTCTTGCTATTGGGATTCACTGGCTCGTCCTTCTTCTCCGGCTGCAGCTCGGGAACATCCTTCGCCTCGCCCGCAAACGCGTCGATCACCGGCTCATCCTTGTCCCGGGGAAGCCCTGCCCCTCTAAAAAGAGCATGTGCTGAACTAACGCCCAAACATTGGACGCCCGAGTTATCCGGGGTAACTCGGGTCCGGGGTAACTCGGGTTTGGATTCCCGAAAAAGGAACCCGAGTTATCCCTGACCCAAGTTACCCCTGATGATTCGGGGCTCTGGACGCCCGAGTTATCCGGGGTAACTCGGGTCCGGGGTAACTCGGGTTTGGATTCCCGAAAAACGAACCCGAGTTATCCCTGACCCGAGTTACCCCTGATGATTCGGGGCTCTGAAAACATACCATAAAAAAAACAACGGACACACCGCTTTGGCCCCTGACGGGTCTGATTGATTGGTCTGGCTAGCCCCGTGCCCCCTAACAGCGGAGAGGGGGCCGAGGACAAGGGACAGGGGGGGAACACTTCTAGGGATGCCCACCGCCTTTTGGAAGGCGTGCCGTGCACCGATATCATTGAAGGGGCCCTGGGACACACAAATAAATACACACAAATAAGAATATCCCCCATATTTTCATATATTTTCTGGGTTTTTGTCTTCCCGCCCGCTTCCCATATTTTCCCATATTTTCTGGGAATCGCCGATTAATTGTGTCTGTGTGTTTTTCCCCTCCTGAATCATGGGGGCCGATCTCAGATGCTCGTTCTGGGAACCTTCCTGGAACCTCTGGTTCTACTCATGCATCAATGCTTGGTCGGAAGCCCGTCGCTTGAGTCGAACGTTAGTCAAACTAAGCAACTTAGATTCGAATTTCATCCAGGGAGGTCATAGTCGAACAGATCTGTTGCAGCTGAATGCCAATATTAAGGACGGTGCACGCATGGCCTTGGGAAAGCGCCGACACAAAAAAACGCCGACCCTCAGAAAACCCAAGGATGCAATGAACTCTACAGGCAGCATCCTTGCCCCCCTCGCGCCAGGACGCATCGGAAATCGGGCGGGGGCTAGGACGAAGATACATCCGTCTCAAAGCCCGGCACGCCCTCAGAGCGTCCCGGAACGCCCTGAGAAGGTCGCGACGCCCGAGACATCCTCCAGTGACGCCGGATCTGAGACATTCTCGATTGATCCTCACCTGGGACGCACAGAGACATACTAATACTATATGTCCTCCTCGGAGGCGCGCGTCCGACCCGAACATATAGTATACCCATCTTGTAGAATATCGTTTCTCGAGCGGTGTGGCCAGAAAGCGCCAGCCACGACGCATATACATATAACGGCGCACCGGGTCCGGGGGCCCGGGGCCGGGACCTCGACCACAAATGTGGGCCCCGGGGGGCCCGGAGGCTCGTCGGGGCTTGCCGGACGCCTCCCCGGTCAGACAAGACGGCCCAAGAAGCGCCCAAGACGGCCCTAGAAACTTCCAAGAGGGCTCCAAGATGCTGAAGATGGCCTCCAGACGTCCAAGGACGCCCCCAAGACGCCGCAAGAAGCCTCCAACATGCGTCCCAAGAGGGCCCCTAGACGCAAAAATTGGCCCATTCCCTTCGTAAATCGTACGTTTTTCACAAAGTTGCCTTTTGGGCTTTCCGACGTTACAGGACGGCCCAAGAGGCGCCCAAGACCGCCCCAAGACGGCCCAAGAAGCTTCCAAGAGGGCCCCAGGACAGCCCAAGAGGGCCCCAAGACGGCCCAAGAGGCGCCCAAGATGGCCCAAGAGGGCCCCAAGACGGGCCCAAGAGGGGGCCCAGAGGGGGACCACGAACCGCAAGCTCGAGCCTTCCGCCCCAAGAGGCCGCCAGGAGGCCCCCAGGAGGCCCCTCAAGAGGCCCCAGGAGACCCCCAAGAGGCCCAAAGGAGGCCCCGAGAAGCCCCAAATCGGCTCCAAAATGCTTCGAACCTGCTTCCAGGAGGCCCCCGACAGGTTCAGAGGCTCCCGAGAAGCTACGTCAAACTCCCAGCGAGCGGCCGGACGAGGCCCCCCAAAAAATCCCAAGAGGGTTCCAGTATTTGTATCCTTCAGCGCTCTCTGGCCTTCTTCCCCTGCCCCCTTCCCTGCGACTTTCGTTGACTCAAGCTCGCCTCCTCTCCATTTCCTCTCTCTGCCTCTCTCTCTCTCTCTCGCTCTGTTTTTTTTTTTGTTTTTTTTTTTCCTCTCTCTCTCTCACTCCATCTCTCTCTCTCTCTCTCTCTCCTTCGCTCTCTGTCTGTCTGTCTCTCTCTCCCTCTCTTTCTCTCTCTTTCTCTCTCTCTCTCTTCCTTTCAGATTCCGTGTCCTTGCGACCTTCTGCAGTCCCCGACGTCGCCACGGCTGGATCCGCTCGAGCGTGTCTTGTGATGTGCGGCGGTGCGAAGCCCGTCCCACTGATCAAGGCACAGGTACAAAATGACGGTCCATCATTTCTTAAGTACTATCAGAGGCATCCGTAAGTATCCTGAGGGGCCCCGCGACTTCCGCTGGAGACTCTGACTACAGAAACTCCCTTCGTATTCCGGCCAGAAGCATCCAGAAACGATGTACATTAGCCCTGGCGGGGGGAATGATGGCGATGGTGATGTTCATGATGACGACGGTGACGATCCTAGCTAGAACCTAAGCGCGCGCGAAGCGCGCGCGTGGTTCTAGTATACTATAAGAGTTCTCGGTGAGCGCGTCGCGTCGCCCCTGGGGGGGCGACGCACATATAGTAGAAACAGGTTGGGGTGACGCCGATCACCCGCGTGAGTCCTCGTCCCAGCTTCGCCTTAAGCAGGGTACCCTTGGGCCGGGTGGCCCGGAAGCATTCTCCGTCGGCGGCGGGGCAGAGGCGGTCCGCTCCAGCGTGTGGCCATTCGGGGCCATCGGAAGGCCAATGGTCCGGCGAGCAAGAAGGAGGAAACAAAACAGGGGGCCCGAAAGCATGCCAAGTGGGTGCAAGGTGACCCTGCGAAGCGGGCCCACCCTTGGCGCCGGTCTTGACCGTGGGTGGGCCCCTGGCGATTGAGCAAAACAGGGCCCCTGACCCTTTTGGGAGGGGACCTCCATTAGGAGGGCGAGAAAAAGTAGGGATCGGGGGTCTTCTCTGCAGATGTATCGAACGAAACCGCCTGGGAGTATGTTCCCTAATGCAACGGCGGGGACCTGGGTGAGGCCACGTCCGTACTGTGTTATTAAAGCATCCTCGATCACCCAGGACGGTCGTCCCAGAACGAGCATCTGACCTGCGAGAACGGCGCCTGAACACCGTACCACGTTTGGACTCCCTTCGGGCCCCGCACCAAGAGGGGTGACTGTCGGCTGGAGGGCCTCCGAGAGGCCCCGCCGCCTCCTGAGAGGGCCTCCTCCATTCCCACCCCCCCACCCCTCGGTTCGCCGCCGAGCGCGGTGTTTGGACCTGGAAGGCAGAAAGGCTGTGCACCGTACTGGTCGAGGGTCGAGCATCGACTACGCCTGGCACGGCCAAATCGTACGGTCGAGGGTCGAGGTCCAAATCCCTTATGACTCGTCCCCTGGCACGGCGAGGGCTGGCGGCCGTCCGAGACGGCCCTCTGGCGCGGGCCTGCTCCTCAGAAGGCATCGGCCCTCCGCGGGAGACTCGAGTGCAGCGTATTCCAAATCCCACATGAGTCGACCCCCCCAAAAAAACTGGACACCCCCCCAAATGCGACCTAATATTCAGCCCCCCCCTCTTCGACGGGGCGCCTTAATAAGCCGGACCCCCTAAGCCACAATCCAAAGAAAACGCCCTAATAAACCGGACCCCCCCCCCAGTTACAAAAAGAACGCCTTAAAAAACCGGACCCAAGGGACGATAAATACGGGATTTGGAGTAACGTGGAAAGCGCGCGGGAATTAGCTGGGATTGCGCCTGACTGAGCGGGATTGCCCAGAAGTAAACGGAATATGCGCCGTGTTAGGCCTGGTTCCGACAGCGGATAGACCAACGGCGATGGCGATGCCGAATCCAATCTCCCCAGAGTTGTACGACGGAAGGAGAGAAGTACGAGTGATGACGTTCTGGTGGGGCGAAGCCCTCTAGGGGGGCTGCAGGCAAGGACGAAGCGGGACCAATCTCGGGTAACACGCCCGCCCTTCCCCCAAGATGGCCCAGGAGGCCTCCCAAAACTACCAAGAGGTCCCCAAGACGGCACAAGAGAGGTCCAAGAAGGCTCCGAGGCGGCCCGAGAGCGCTCCACGAGAGTCCAAGACAGGCCAAGAGCATTCGAAGATGGCCTCAGATGGTCCCAAGACGGTCCAAGGGGGCCCAAGATGACCCAAGAGGCCCTGAAGAGGACCCCCCAGAGGGCATCAGGAAGTCAAAAACGTTGACTTGCTTCAGGTGTTTGAACAATGTTAGGGCTCTCGCCTTTTCGGGTTTCCCACGGCCCGACACGGACCCCAAGAGGGCCCAAGACGACCTAGGGGAGCCCCAAGACGGCCCCAGAGGCCCCCAAGAGAGACCCAAGAGGGCCATGGGAAGGCCCCAAGAGTACCGAAGAGGGCCCCGAGAAGGCCCCAAGACGACCCGAGCCCCCCCAAAAAAGGCCCCCGGGACGGATCAAAAGCCGCCCAAGAGGACCTCCCAGACGGCTTGAGAAAGCAAACCAAATGATGTTCCTATGGTGTTTAATTCATGTTGAGGCTCTCGTTCTTTCGGGTCCGGATCGGCCGAAGACGGCTCTGAGAGCCTCCGAGATTGCCCCAAGACGGCCCAGGAGGCTCCCAAGAAGGCCCCAAGCCGGCAGAAGAGGGCCCCAAGACGGCCACAGAGCCTCAAGAGGGGCCAAAGAGAGCACCAAGAAGCTCCCCAGAGGCCCAAGATGGCCTTCGGAGGCTGCAAAGAACGCCAAAGACGGCTCCAAGACGGCCCAAGCCTCCCAAGACGGCCCAAACGGCCTCCAGGACGGCCCAAAATGCAAAGAGGGACTCTAGACGGGCCCAAGACGGCCCACCAGGGGTCTTCCAAGAGAGCGCCCAGTGCCGTAGGAGGCCGCCAAGGATGCCGGAGAGGGCCCCAAGAGGGCCCCAGGACGAGCTCTGAGGGCACCGCTGTGGGGGCGACGGGTACCACCACGTCTGTTTTCACGGGGAACGGCATCAGTGTCCAGGACCCTTCTCCCTTCTTTTACAAAGCGAAGCGAGCTGGTAGAGGTTGTTCGAATGAAAGGTTGTCCTGATGTCGGCTCCCCAAGACGGCTTAGGAGGGCATCAGAATTGCCAAGAGGGCCCCAAGACACCCAGAAGGGCTCCCAGAGGACCCCCCTCAGGACGGCCAACAACGGACGCAACTTTGATGCCAAGGCTCCCGAGAGCACCAGGTGACCGGAAAACCGTTTTTACACGAGCCGTTGACGCAAGCAACTTTGAACGGCAAGGGTGGTCCCAAGGAGCAGCAGTTGAGCGAACGGCGACGCAAACGGATCTTTAGCACAGAGGCTCCCAAAAGCGTACAGTGACGAAATCAGCGCTGAACTTCCAGGCTCCAATGGGCGAACGGTGAAGTACACAAATCATAACATGCTCGTAATACCAAGGCTGCCAAGAACGAACGATGACGTGAAACGCTCTTCATACCAAGGCTTCAACGCGCGAGCGGTGAAGTTCATTAACGCCAGAGCTCCCAAGAGCGAGCGGTGACATGAGCCCTCACGGGCAAGTTCCTGAAGCGCTCTTTCCGTTCCCGAGCCGGCCAAGGTCCAAATGCAGTGGGGGGCGAAACGACAGAGTGGGCCTGGCCTAGGGTGGGGGACACGCCGACCTGAAGTCGACAGTACATAGCTGATAGGTCGTCGATACCCCCCGATAGCGAAACCGCACACTCCTGGGCGGGGAGGGCTATTAGGCACCCAACGGTGATGGGAGGTCGCTTGGGGGTCGATGCGTTCGTTCCCCACTGAGCAGATCCCCCCGAACGTTGACCCTGATTGAGGGAGGGCAGAAGAAGCACCCTCATGTAGGCAGCCATGCAAGCAGAGCCCTCTTGCAACCACACCTGTCCAAGGAGTCGAACAGGGCAGGACTATATATTCAACGCCCGGGGCCCAGGACTGTGCAGTAAACGCAGAGTGAAGGGATCGGAGTGTTCTGTCGTCCCTTGCTCATTGCCCAGAAAGCACCTTCGGAAGGCCGAATCCTTGGAAAAACTCCCGCCTTGATTCGAGCTGCGTCCAGCCGCCGCGACAAAAATAGAGGCAAACACTTTGGAGAATCCCTCCCGGACCTCAGATTACGCCTTGATGCTTCCAACAACCACGCCGGCCACTCTCGATGCTTTCCTGGGAGTCGGTGCCTCGTCCTGGATCGCTCTATCGTTCGGCGACTCCGAAGGGTGTGGTTTGCAAAGAGTGTGGTTTGCAGCGCTCACTATGGAGTGCGGGCGAGGACCTCGACGGAGTTCTCCACAGCGCCCCGAGGAGGCCCGACAAGGGAAACATGTTGCCCCCTACGCCCCAACAACGCAGATCGCAAGCCACACCTCGGCGCAACCATACCCTCTGCAGTTGCCGAGTCATGATCCTGGAAGCCCGAGAACGGGCCTGGCAACCAAAGACAACGGAAACACTGTCATGCTCATGCTTTCACGGCGTCGGAAATCCCCGCTCTTCGCTCACACTCCTCCGTCAGCCGGCCGTCACAACGGATACGGAAGGAAATATGAGCCTTGCAATCGAAATTCGTCGTCGCTCATCAAGAAGGGCCCTCTGGTGTCCTACGACTCGTGCGGGCCCCGATGGGGTTCGGCTTCTCTAGATGAGCACAAGACGACCTAAACATAATCTTCCAGAGGTGCGCGCGAATGACTTGGATGGGCGCTGGACCCCCCCCCCTCCCTGGGCGCGGCGTCAGAGGCGCAGTCAGGGGGGTCCCGCACCGAGCCAGCCTTCACGCGGACCTCCCAAATGTCATATTCCGACGAATCATGTTCGATCCTCACCTGATTGATGTGACCACGATCGAAGGCTGGAAGTCCCAAAACAGCGCGGTGGCCACACCGTCGGGTGAGTCTGTCGGGATCCGGAGTTAACGCACATTTTTTTGGGAATTGGGTCACTCTCCGAAGATGCCTCGAGTGACCGGGGCCTCTGGGGCCTCAACACCGTGCGTTGACGGACCGTGCGGTCAGGTCTTTGGAGATTCCGATGCCACCGCAGCGCGTTGGGACCCCAAAGAGCGCCCCCAGGGAGGTGGGTGCAGCGCCGATCCAAGAAATCCGCGCGGACCTTCCGAAATGAATGCTAATGTTGTTGTTGTTGTTGTTGTTGTTGTTGTTGCTTCTCATGGTATTCTCACGTGAAGGGGGGGCGATCGGGAGATCCACCTCAGAGAGGATGCATCGACCTGGAATTGGTCATGCATCGCCGATAGATCGGCGACAGGCCCACGAATCCGCACGTTCCTGGGCGGGGTTCAGCTATCAGGTACCCATCGGCCCCTAACGTGCCTAACGTTGCCCAAAAACTGCTTTCGGGAGATAACTCGGCACTCTGGGGGCCGTTCGGGACGATCAGGGCACCCTTGGAACGCCCTCGGCAACGCGCAGCTGTTGGAGAGCATCCCGAGGCTGGAAAACCACCGAGAACAGACGAAAACACCAGAAATCCCTGAACCCCGAATCCCAGCCTGTCCCCCTCCTAAGCATGTCGCCCCCCAGTTGGATCACCGAGGGGGGTGCCAAGTGAATAAGGGGGTTGCAAATGGATGCTAAGCTGGGAGGTACCTCGCCAAAGCTGGCTTATACAGTGGCTGCACGTGCCCTAGGTGGCCTAGGTGGCGCAGAGAACGATGCTCAGTGGGCGAGGCCCACCGAATACCTCCCTTAGCCACGTAGGCCACATGCAGCCCACTTGCAAGCTCGGTTAGGCAAGGCATTACCCACCATACCACCCGCTCACCACCTCCCCATCCGCTTAGCACCAGGTCGGGCCTGTCCCCCTAGAGGGGGATTTCGGGCGAAGACCTAATAAATACTCAAGCACTACTCCCCCAAATGCCCACAAGAGGTCCACAAATCGTCCCCCTGCTACTCTTGGGCTATTTGTGAACACCCCTCCTGTCGAGGGACAGGCCCGACTTCCTCTGAGCAGCCCCCGCGGCGATCCGAGCGCATACGCCTGCCGCGGAAAGGGCAGGGCTCCCGCGGGCCTTGGACCCGCCGCCGGACATGCTCGCCGCCGCCGGGGCGCCGTCGTCGTCGCCCGTCGGCGCGAGGCTCAGGTCGCCCTTCTGCACCGAGAGGTCCTCGCCGCGAGGGGGGCCTCGCTCCGACAGGGCGCGATGTTCAGGCAGAGAGGGAACCGGGCGGCAGCAGACGACGGCAACGAGGAATGAGAGACGGCGACAGGCGAACGAGCGCGGCGGCGCGAACGGTGGCGACAGCCGAGGGTGGGCCAGGGACCTTGATGTTCCAGGAGGGATAGGAAATGGCACCAGCGTTCTTCCTGGGAGGTCTTCGCACGAGCAATCGGAAGCTATTCAGCCCGAAGAGGCCATGGAGCCAGATAATCGGGGGGTCGATGCTGAGAACAACAACCCCCTAGGAGCGCTAGACAACAACACCAGGGCCTTTGAATGACAATCCGTAAGAGCTTCGCCCCCTGTCGCCGGCCCCCTCTCTCGGAGAATGGGCCATGGAAGAGCGAAGTCATGAGGCTTTGGCTTCGCCGTGAAGCAGCGTCGGGACCTGATTGTTTTTCGACCCTGACCCTACGGATCTGCATGAGGGGTGCCGCCGATTTTCAAAAATGTGGCAAATCCCTTGAGTTTTTTCCCGGAAAGGGCATAGGCCCAGGGTTCTCTTTTAGTATGTAAACATATCCCCCCGTGCCCAATTTGAAGGAGGCCGGCGGATTCTTCCCTGATGAATATCGAGGACGAAGGAGGCCAGCGGATTAAAATTTAAGGATGTCCCAGGCGAAACGCTTGTTTTTGAAATCCCGATCGATGAATCACAGGGTGCGGGCCACCTCAGCACGACCACATCCCAGCACGACCACACCCCAGCACGACAGCACGACCACACCCCAGCACGACCACACCCCAGCACGACCACACCCCAGCACGACCACACCCCAGCACGACCACACCCCAGCACGACCCGATCGATAAATCACAGGGTGCGGACCACCCCAGCACGACCACACCCCAGCACGACCCCACCCCAGCACGACCCCACCCCAGCACGACCACGCCCCAGCACGACCACACCCCAGCACGACCACACCCCAGCACGACCACACCCCAGCACGACCCCACCCCAGCACGACCCCACCCTAGCACGACCACACCCCAGCACGACCACACCCCAGCACGACCACACCCCAGCACGACCCCACCCCAGCACGACCCCACCACAGCACGACCACCCCCCAGCACGACCACACCCCAGCACGACCACACCCCAGCACGACCCCACCCCAGCAAGACCACACCCCAGCACGACCACACCCCAGCACGACCTCACCACAGCACGACCACACCCCAGCACGACCACGCACGACCACGCCCCAGCACGACCACGCCCCAGCACGACCACGCCCCAGCACGACCACGCCCCAGCACGACCACCCCCCAGCACGACCACCCCCCAGCACGACCACCCCCCAGCACGACCACCCCCCAGCACGACCACACCCCAGCACGACCACACCCCAACACGACCATACTCCAGCACGACCACACCCCAGCACGACCACACCCAGTCGCACCCCCGTGGAATGTTTCGTGGGGTGTCTGGTTGAGTGGTTGCCTGTTCGTGGGGTGTCTCGTGGAATGTTTCACGGGGTGTCTCGTGGAATGTTTCGTGAGGTGTCTCGTGGGTTGTTTCGTGAGGTGTCTCCTGGGATGTTTCGCGGGGTGTCTCGTGGGATGTTTCGTGAGGTGTCGCCCAATTGGATATCATGAAAACATGACCATGCTGCACATGTCTATATCCCTTTCCGGGTTCGTGGGTCCATCATGTTCCGATCTGCGTGAGGGGTGCCGCCGAATTTCAGAAATGTGGCAAATCCCCTGTGTTTTCCCCACATCCTAAGTGGGGTTCTTGTTTTCTCTGCACACCCTCCGCGCAGGATCTCTCCTCCTCCTCCTCCTCCCTCTCCTCTGCTCCTCTTTGCTTCCTCCTCCGCATCATCATCACCATCACCATCACTCCCCACTCATCATCATCATCACCATCAGCATCACCATCACCATCGCACGATCACTCACCATCATCGGCATCGAACGATCATCATCATCATCATCATCATCATCATCATCATCATCATCATCATCATCATCATCATCATCATCATCATCATCATCACTACTCGCTGACTTGAGGCCTGAATATGGAGGAAGTATCAGGCGGGAGCCTCGTCTGTGAGTGAATTGTGAGGAAGTCTCAGGCGGGAGACCCCTCCCTATGGGGCCCGCACTTCATGTTCGAATCCGAGCGGGTCATCCGCAACGTGCAACTGTCATCACTTTTGGGCTCTTGAGACCTGAATATGGAGGAAGTCTAGAGCGGGAGCCTCGTTTGTGAATGAATTGCAAGGAAGTCTCAGGCGGGAGCCCCCTCCCTATGGGGCCCGCACTTCATGTTCGAATCCGAGCGGGTCATCCGCAACGTGCAACTGTCGTCACTTTTAGGCTCTTGAGACTTGAATACTGAGGAAGTCTCGAGCGGGAGCCTCGTCTGTGAGTGAATTGTGAGGAAGTCTCAGGCGGGAGCCCCCTCCCTATGGGGCCCGCACTTCCTGTTCGAATCCGAGCGGGTCATCCGCAACGTGCAACTGTCGTCACTTTTGGGCTCTTGAGGCTTGAATATGGAGGAAGTATCAGGCGGGAGCCTTGTCTGTGAGTGCATTGCGAGGAAGTCTCACGCGGGAGCCCCCTCCCTATGGGGCCCGCGCTTCATGTTCGAATCCAAACGGGTCATCCGCAACGTGCAAGTGTCGTCACTTTTGGGCTCTTGAGACCTGAATATGGAGGATGTCTAGAGCGGGAGCCTCGTTTGTGAATGAATTGCAAGGAAGTCTCAGGCGGGAGCCCCCTCCCTATGGGGCCCGCACTTTATGTTCGAATCCGACCGGGTCATCCGCAACGTGCAACTGTCGTCACTTTTGGGCTCTTGAGACCTGAATATGGAGGAAGTCTCGAGCGGGAACCTCGTGTGTGAGTGAATTGTGAGGAAGTCTCAGGCGGGAGCCCCCTCCCTATGGGGCCCGCGCTTCATGTTCGAATCCGAGCGGGTCATCCGCAACGTGCAACTGTCGTCACTTTTGGGCTCTTGAGACGTGAATATGGAGGAAGTCTCGAGCGGGAGCCTCGTCTGTGAGTGAATCGCGAGGAAGTCTCAGGCGGGAGCCCCCTCCCCATGGGGCCCGCACTTTATGTTCGAATCCGACCGGGTCATCCGCAACGTGCAACTGTCGTCACTTTTGGGCTCTTGAGACCTGAATATGGAGGAAGTCTCGAGCGGGAACCTCGTGTGTGAGTGAATTGTGAGGAAGTCTCAGGCGGGAGCCCCCTCCCTATGGGGCCCGCGCTTCATGTTCGAATCCGAGCGGGTCATCCGCAACGTGCAACTGTCGTCACTTTTGGGCTCTTGAGACCTGAATATGGAGGAAGTCTCGAGCGGGAGCCTCGTCTGTGAGTGAATCGCGAGGAAGTCTCAGGCGGGAGCCCCCTCCCTATGGGGCCCGCACTTCATGTTCGAATCCGAGCGGGTCATCCGCAACGTGTAACTGTCGTTTCTTTTGGGCTCTTGAGGCTTGAATATGGAAGAAGTATAAGACGGGAGCCTCGTCTGTGAGTGAATTGTAAGGAAGTCTCAAGCGGGAGCACCCTCCCTATGGGGCCCGCACTTCATGTTCGAATCCGAGCGGGTCATCCGCAACGTGCAACTGTCGTCACTTTGGGGCTCTTGAGGCCTGAATATGGAGGAAATCTCGAGCGGGAGCCTCGTCTGTGAGTGAATTGTGAGGAAGTCTCAGGCGGGAGCCCCCTCCCTATGGGGCCCGCACTTCATGTTCGAATCCGAGCGGGTCACCCGCAACGTGCAACTGTGGTCACTTTTGGGCTCTTGAGACCTGAATATGGAGTAAATCTCGAACGGGAGGGAGCCTCGTCTGTGAGTGAATCGCGAGGAAGTCTCAGGCGGGAGCCCCCTCCCTATGGAGCCCGCACTTTTGTTCGAATCCGAGCGAGTCATCCGCAACGTGCAACAATCGTCATTTTGGGGCTCTTGAGACCTGAATATGGAGGAAGTCCCAAGCGGGAGCCTCGTCTGTGAGTGAATTGTAAGGAAGTCTCAAGCGGGAGCCCCCTCCCTATGGAACCCGCACTTCATGTTCGAATCCGAGCGGATCATCCGCAACGTGTAACTGTCATCACTTTTGGGCTCTTGAGGCTTGAATATGGAAGAAGTATCAGGCGGGAGCCTCGTCTGTGAGTGAATTGTGAGGAAGTCTCAGGCGGGAGCCCCCTCCCTATGGGGCCCGCGCTTCATGTTCGAATCCGAGCGGGTCATCCGCAACGTGCAACTGTCGTCACTTTTGGGCTCTTGAGACCTGAGTATGGAGGAAGTCTACAGCGGGAGCCTCGTTTGTGAATGAATTGCGAGGAAGTCTCAGGCGGGAGCCCCGTCCCTATGGGGCCCGCAGATCATGTTACTAATCAGAGCGGGCCATCGGAAACTCATAACTGTCGTCACTTTTGGGCTCCTGAGGCCTGAATATGGGAGAAGTATCAGGCGGGAGCCTCGTCTGTGAGTGAATCGCGAGGAAGTCTCAGGCGGGAGCCCCCTCCCTATGGGGCCCGCAGATCATGTTAGTTCGTTTCGAAATATACGCAGAAGAGACAAGCCAGGACGCCTCACCAACCACGAGGACGATGGTGAGGGCTTTTCCTAGATTCGCCCAGAGGATTCTCATGTGGGGTCCTTCCGTTTGAGTAGTTGACCCTGACCCGCCGATCTGCGTGAGGGGTGCCAGGAAATGTTAGAAGTGTGGCAAATCCTTGTGTTTTTGGACCCTGACCCCGCCGATCTGCGTGAGGGGTGTCAATTTTTATCCACCCCAGCAATTCAGAGCATCGGATTTGGGCGTGGTAGAAATGCCTGTTTTGGGCCTCCCCCCCTCGCGCGGTCCATCAACAAGGAACAGTAAGCAGCAACAGTGGAAACTGGAGGCTGCAACTGGTAGAGGAAACTGCGAACCTTCGCCTTACAGCCTGGTGGCCCCACAAGGGGGCCGGCGGATTCCAGTCTTGACCTGTGGTTGAGGAGGCGACTCCTGGGAGTTCTCCGTACAAGTGATGAGGAGCTCCCAAGCCATTGAGCCACGTCAGGCCAGATGCGGGGATCAATCGAATTCCACCAGCCCTGTAGGGCGTGAATTGTTTAGCGCGTTTCCTCTTCCAACCCCCCTTTACACTCTGCGAGGAGAGGTTTATCACTTCTCCCTGGTAATAATTAACCCCTGCCCCAGGCGACCAGCAACAAGTCCGAATCCATGATGGCATCCATGACAACCCTCCCCCACACCATCCGTCAACCAAAACGTGAAACAAAACTATACAACAACAGCAACAACACCAATTGGCCTTCAACTCTGGAGCCTGCGCAGGAGCCCCGCGACGACGTTGCATGGTTGCCGACAGCGACTGCAAAGGGGCATCATTGCCTGCTGTGCGCAGGGCCACCTTCCCTGTCAAAAGACAATGCAAAGTGCAATTCGCGGTTACATTTGGATCATGCTCGGCCCCACGCTATCAGCGTCCCTTTGTTTTTGGCAAGGACGGAGGCGGTGCTGGCATATGGCCAGCTGTGCGCAAGCCCACGAGACACCATACTGGCCACCCCGCCGCGACTGCGCATTGGGCTTCGTCAAGGATAACGAACGGGAGGAGAGATCTTTCCCGATGTGTGCTGCCACGCGCGCGGGCGCACCTGGCACACGCTGCGCGTGCCCGGACGTGGCGCACCTGGCGCGTCTGAAGCATGCGGCATACGTGGTGCACGTGGAGCGCGTGGTGCATCCGGGGCACCAGGTGTGCCTGGCACGCGTGGGCCCCAGAGGTGCGTGGTGCACCTCGCCCGAGCGTCGCGCACACTGGGGTTGGTGTGGTTCCCAGTAGCTTTAGGTCGGGCCTGTCCCCCTACAGGGGGATTTTGGCGAAAACTTCATCAACATACTCCAGAAATAGGCCCTAAATGCGCAAATATAGTCAAACAATCGTCCCCAGACTATTTGTTTTATTATTTGTTACTATCCCTCCTGTAGAGGGACAGGCCGACTTAACAGTAGCTGCCCACCCAAAGACGACCGCTGAACATGCCGAGGCTCGGGTGTTACTTCTGTGCTTGGGGGGCGGGTGGGACTAAGCGAAACGGCTTGCTGGCGGAGAGGGTGGCTTGCCCCTCACCCTACCCCCTCCCCTGGGACTCGGGGAGAGGTGTCAGAGCGTCCAGGGAGGCCTCAGCGAGAAGGCAAACATCACTACGTTCCCCAAGGTTTGGGAAAAGTTTGGCCTGCTGACGGGGGCGATACTTGAACCACCCCCTTCTTTAATCGAACTCCTCCTGGATGACCCCAAGATGGCCCCCAAGGCTCCCGAAAGTGCGCCAAGAGGGTCCCAAGAGGCGCCCAGGAGGCCCCAAGGAATCTCCAAGAGGTCCCCAAGAGGCTCCCAAGAGAGACCCCAGAGAGGTCCCAAGAGGCTCCATCGAGGCACTCGAGACGCCTCAAGAAGCCTCCAGGACCGCCAAGAGGCCCCCGAAACGCCCCTAGGGCTCAAAGGAGCTCTCAGGAGACACCCGAAGAGACTCCGAGAGGCCTACAAGAAGCATCTGGCCTTTCTGCTCGCTCTTCTCCTCCTCTTCCTCATCCGCCTAGCCTTAGGTCGGGGGTCCCCCTACAGGGGGGATTTTGGTAGAAAACTAGCAAATATCCCACACATATTCCCCAAATGCTCAAAAATAGTAAAAACAAATAGTCCCCGTATTATTCTTTAGACTATTTTAAAATATTCCTCCTGTGGAGGGACACGCCCGATTTAAGCCTAGCCCTCCTCCTCACTCCTCCGTGCGCCGTCCCCCTCCCCCTCCAAACACCTGATCCTCCTCCTCCTTGCATCCTCCCCTCCTTGGGGCACGACGGCTTCCCCAACCCTTCATTCCACTGCATACTCCTCCAGATCCCTGATCAGGGGCAAATCGCCTCGGCATCGCTTAAGGATGGTCTGGTGGGGGTACGCGAACCGTCTAGGATTGGTCTGAATCAAGCCAAGCTAAACGGGAATATGCCGGATTAGGCCAGTTCCCAGGCGAGATGATTCGCCCACTCAAGTGAGTTTCAGTGTTGTCCTGGAAACGAAACGCGGCAACCATCGTTGATCCAGGAGGCCTAGGTGCTGGCACTGGAAACCGAACGCTGCCAAGACCGCCCCTTTCATGACCTGTCCGCCACGAGGCGATGTCAGGGGACGGCGGCAGCGACGGCGGCCGGGGCGCCGGCGTGGCGGCGGCGCCGTCCGGCGACACGCTCAGAAGAGTGGCCCCAGGCCTAGGTCGGGCCTGTCCAGACTATTTCAATATCCCTCCTGTAGTGGGACAGGCCCGACTTAACCCTAGGCAAGAGTGGCCCTTGTTTGGTGCGCGGACTACAGGGGCGCAAGGTGGCCAAATCCAAGCGCGCAAGCAGCCACTATATCGCATCGCGCTCATCGATAGGGCGGACCCCGACAGGTAGAGGCCTCCCAGATAGGGTCCGAGTAGATGTGGTCGGGGGATTGCACGGCATTGCCAATGCAGTGGCGATGCATCGCCAACGTCAGCGATGCATCGGCGACGGCGACGTGAAGCAGATCGGGCTCCACACCGAGCCGCATCGGCGACGCATCGGCGATGCGCCGCGATCCTCCGACCCCATTTTCTCCGACCCCATCTGGGAGGCCTAGACAAATGTTGGGTCGGGCATGTCCCCCTACAGGCGAATTTTGGACGAAACAACAACAAAAAATGTTTCCAAATGGCAGGAATGTGTCAAAAAATCGCCCCCCGGCTATCAAAAAATCGTCCCCCAGCTGGGAGGCCCAGAGCATCGTGCTCAACGATCGGGCGGACCCCGATGAGCCCGCACGCCAGATCTCTCCGGCGAAGGGCCACTCTTACGTGTAGCCGAGCCGCAGCGGCGGCGCCGAGTCGTGGCGGCGGCGACGCCGCCGGCGGCTGCGGCTTAAGCAGCGCAGCGGGTGCGGCGTCCTCTGGCTCCGCGTCGCGGCAGCGAGGCGCCAAAGACGACGACGACGACGACAACGACGACGACGACGACGGACGACGACGACGACGGACGACGACGACGACGACGACGACGACGACGACGACGACGACGACGGCGGCGACGACGACGACAGACGACGACGACGACGACGACGACGACGACGACGACGGACGACGACGACGACGACGACGACGACGACGACGACGACGACGACGACGACGGACGACGGACGACGACGACGACGACGACGACAACGACGACGACAACGACGGACGACGACGACGACGACGACGACGGACGACGGACGACGGACGACGGACGACGACGGACGAAGACGACGACGGACGACGACGACGACGACGGACGACGACGACGACGACGACGACGACGACGACGACGACGACGACGACGACGACGGCGGCGGCGGCGACGGAGCAGGCCGCGCAGCGGCTGCGGCGTCCTCTGGCTCCGCGGGCGCCAGCGGCTCGTCCTCTGGCGGCAGCGGGTCGTCGGGCCCGAGCCCGAGCTGGATCCGCCGGATCCGGTCGCGGGCCGCCTGCCGGGGGACACACAAAGGCGTGCCAGCACTGCATGATGGGCATGCTTTCCACCACAACCACCATAAGTTGGAGGGGGAGGAGGAGGAGGAGGAGGAGGAGGAGGAGGAGGAGGAGGAGGAGGAGGAGGAGCCCAGCGTACCAAGGGGGTACGTCAGCCGCGCTAGCCGTGCCGCGCGGGGGCGGGCCTGGATGAAGTAGCTGCACAGGTCGGCGTCGTTGCCGACGGGGCGGGCAGCGGCCGAGATATAGTTTCAATCAGAGGCTGGTGAGAGGAGAGCGGTGGCGGCGGGAGCCGCGGCTGGCGGAGGGGGGGGAGGACAGGCGAGACGGCAGAGGGCAAGAGCAAGGCAGCCTCGGGCGGAGGAAGGGACGGGGAAGAGATGGGGACGGTCGAAAAGATATAACGGCGAGTGCGCCCAGCAGCTGGGGAACACGAGATTCGGGTGGGTGGGTCAATCCTGAGACCGCGGGGAAAATTCAGAGAGGAGTGGTCACTCGATGGGTCGAGCGACGAAATGACGGCGGGAAACAGGGAAGGCACAAACGCGGAGGGAGGGGGAGCAGGCGGGGGGCAAGCAGAGGAAGGGGCAGCACTCGGGAGCGAAGGACAGGCGGGGGGAGGGCCAACATCGAAGGTGGCGTGACAGGGCAGAGCGGGCTCGGCTGAGAAGGGCGACGCGCGAGGGAGAGGCGGGGCCTGGGCGGCCTGCAGACCGAAAGAGAGCGGGGCGAGCGGGGCGACGGGCGTGGGGGGGAGCGTAGATACAGACGGCTCATTTTCGGCCGCACTCTCAGATGGCGTAGTCGGGGGAGTCATCCCTGCCGTCGGCGACACTGAAGGGGAGCGCGACATCGGAGGGCTCGTGGTCATCGGCGTCGCGGAACGCTCTGAAGACGGGGGCGATGGTTGCGTCGAACGGCGAGGGGCCTCCAGAGTCCCAGGATTTCGTCCGACACGTGGCGACTGCGAGCCCGAACACGACAACGGGACTTGCGATCTAACGCCGACGGACCAGCGTCCAGAATCACGGCAACATTCTTGTGGCGACGGCGAGCCCGAACACGACAACGGGACTTGCATTCTAACGCCACAGGAGAGGTGGTCTCCCTCGAGGCATCCTGCATGTGGCGACGTGTAGCCCGAACACGACAACGGGACTTGCGATCTAACGCCAGGGCCCAGCTGGGGCGACACGAGGCATCCAGCACTTGGCGACAGTGAGCCCGAACACGACAACGGGACTTGCGATCTAACGCCGATGGAAGGCGACGAGGCCGAAGAACCCGCGGACGACAGCGTCACTGGCGAGGACGGCGACACACATGAGCAGGGCGAAATCGGGGCCGGCGGCGAAATTGAAGAGCAGGCGGGCGCCATCAGAGGAGTTCTCAAAGGCATTGATGGTGATGGGGCCGCCCTCTGAGTCGATGGGGAGCGCGCCATCGTCGGGGGCGCAGAGGAAGGCGGGGGGGAAGTCGCCGAAGCCGAAGGACAGCACGTAACTGAACCCGTCGCGGGGACCTGAACAACATCAACAGCGTCGAGGTCCGACGGGATCGTGGCAATGGCTGTGGAGACGGTGCCCGTGTCGCTGTCCGATGACGAAACTGCAGGCGTGAGCCGTGGAGACGACCCCGAGGATGAAGATGACGAAGAGCTGCGAATGAGGTAGTCCCGCCGGCCGAGCTGCTCGCGGTCGATCTCCGAGCACTTCAGCGGCGACGCGAGCTGCATCGAACGTACACCAGCGAGAGCACAGCTACGGAGGAGGGACGGGGACAGCGGCCACACGGGCGCCAGCCTCGCTTCGTTGTACATGCTGTACGCGGCAGCCAACGCCGAGAAGGTGGCCAGCGATGGTTCCGATAAGCCCCATCTGGCCAACCACGGCAGCGGAATCGGTCTCGCGAGAGCTTGCCGAAGGGCGCGGTGCATGACAGGACATCTCGCGTAGTGTCTCAACGAGTCGAGCTTGCCCAGACAACCAAATACGCAGTGCTTCTGGCCGTCGGGTGAGATGATACGGGCCGAAGTCATCCAACCATCAGACCAAGTGCGCAGGACGGCCATAGCCCATGAGCACGGGCAGCGGGCGAGGACGCTCTTGCACTCGCCCCAGTCGATGTTCGAGAGGAGGCCCGCCGATCTGCCTGCGAACTTCCGCAGGCGGAGCACGAAGAGGTCGGTGACGGGCTTGTTCATCATCGCTGAGGCCCGAAGCGCTTCGTGAGCAGCTCTCTGAGGACGAGGTCGAGGTCGGCCGCTCTCTCGAAGTTCAGCCAGCGCAGCGTCGGCAGCACGAGCACCAAAGACGGCCAACGGGCCAGGGGGAGGGGCGCCAGCGGCGGCCAGCGCCAGATTCTCCACGAAGGCGGGGGCCAACCAGAGCTTGCCAGTCGCCAGCATGGACAGGGTGGCATCGTACGGGGCGGAGCGCGCATGGTTCCGCAACTGCTGGAGGAGCCGATCCCAGCCTGGGAACGTGTGCAGAGCAGCACGTGTGATGGTGGCGACGGCCAGGTGCCCCCAACGCGTGCAGCGCGGGCCGCCCCACTGCGCGATCTGCGTCCAGAAGTCGAGAGCGAATGTGCCGAGCGGGATGCGGAACACCTGCGCGAGCGTCGCCAACTCAGGCTGCAGCACTGACGATGGCGGCCAGCAGAATTGGGCAACGTAAGATATGGTCGTAACGGCACGTGTATTGTATAGTGTAGCGGAAAGGCTGGCAGGAGTGGTTCCCCGCCCGATGGCTTGGGCCCTGAGACGCAATTTGGCGACGGGATCGATCCAGCATGTGGACGGGACGACAGCGGGCCCCAGCCAGAGGCCCAGGTAGAGCAACTTCGGAGCCACCTCGAACGAGCTCCACTCGGGGACCACATGGGAGACCCAGAAGGAGACTGTGGCTGAGAGGTCGGGCGAGAACCTGTCAGACAGCGGGGCAATCTTGCATTTCGAGACCTGCAGGGCGAGGTTGGCCAGGTCCGAGGCCATCTGCATAACCCGATACACATGTACTAGGTGCCGTATGGCCAATAACGTGCCCCCAATGTCGTCAGCACAGGCCCGAACCAGGCCAAGGCCAGCGGCCTCCACACGAGAGGCCAGGTCAATCAAGAAGACAGCCGTACTCAACGCATACAGAGTGCCAGATAAGGCACAACCCTGGATGATGCCGCTCTGGATCCAGAAGATGTGTACTAGCGAGCCTAGGTGCGAGACGACCCCTTCCACCGATGCATAGAGGAACGTGACGAAGGACACGAAGGCTTCGGGCAGCTTGAGGGCCCTAAGAGAGAGAATGAGGAAGTCCTGATTCAGAGACGGGAAGGCCTGGCCGAAGTCCAGGGAGTACAGTACAGGAATATCAGTAGATCCGTGAGGTACGACCGACATCTGACGACTCGAAACGTCGAGCTCGAGGATGTTGTTGCCGAAATTCCTACCGGGTATGAATCCACGCTGGCACGGCGGGGCGAGGGATACCAGGGCAGGGCGGATCGCACGATTGACGGTGGAGGAGATGAGCTTCAGGTCACAGTTCCTAAGGCCCAAGACTCGAACCTTGTCGGGGGAGCGGGAACAGCTGGCATCGCGGAGCTCCAAGTCTGTGACGTTTTTGGGCAGAAAAATCTGGATCGCGTCGCTAGTGTTCGCAAAGAGTTCTTGGCCACTGAGCACCCATCCAAGGGCGTCCTACAAGATGTCAGCCCCCCACGAGGACGCGGCCCACGCAGCGCATGGGAGAGCATCAGGACCTGGAGCAGAGTGTTGGGCAGAACGTATTGCTCGACGTAGCATGTTTTTCGACGGCGGGGGCAGATGTAGGTCGGCAGGAAGGTCAGGAGCAAGGCGGCGAAGGTAGGGAGCAGCAGCAGCATCGTCCCGCGGCTTTTTCTGGAAGACGGGGGCCCAGTGCTCCGAGAGCACCCGCAGGCGGTCAGAGGGCACGCTGACCGAGGAGCCATCTGGCGCGATAACCGCTGAGAGCGAGATCCTGCGATTGAGAGGGGACCAGAGACGAGCGCGCCGTTCAAGCGCTCGAACCTGGGCACGAATCTGGACGCGGTCACCTTCACGCCGTCTGCGATCTTCAAGTTCTGCCTTTGCGGACTCGGCAGCCTCAGTCTGGACCTGGTCGACCCATGCCTGGAAGGACGGCGGGTGGCGGAGTTCGACCTTCCCGTTGGTGATCGAAATCATGTCAATGGCCAGGGGGTGGGAGTCCTGGAGCCTGGAAGCCATGCGCAAGTCTTGCCTCCAGACAGCACGGGCCAGAGCACGAGCGAGCAGCAGGCAGGTGTGCGGGTGATGCGGCCTGTCCCGAAAGAGGGTGTCCCTGGTCTCCGCGGCTGAAATCTTCAAAAGCTCCTTGTACTTTTCTACCTTGAACGGAGGCGACATGGAGTCCCACGGGATGCAAGAGCACAGCCCCTCCAGGCGCCTCTTGAAACCAGGCTCCGAGAACAGGTGTTTGGAAATGGGGCGAGACTCCACAGGTCGAGGCGGGCGGCAGGCAAGCGAGAGAACAACAGCAGCATGGTCAGAGATCTTTTTGTCGAAGACAGCCGCCTGCGCGCCAAGCGTGCCAATCTGGACATACAGCTGGCAGAGCTGCCAGCCTGTGATCGAGCAGAAGACGCGGTCGGTCGTCGCGCACGAGTCGTTGAACTTCTCGTAGCGCGTGGGGTCCTCGCACGCAATCTCGGTCAGGAGGGCGAGAGCCTGGCGCCACTTGGGCGCCTGCACGTGGTGGCACTTCGACTGCTTGCGCACGGCCGCCGCAGGGGCAGCGAGCGCCAGAGCCTCGTGCGTGGCAAAATTGAAGTCCCCGAGGACAAAGGTGGTGTACATGTCGGGGTCGAGAGCAGCCGCGCGCTGCGATACTCGTATCGCGGCAGCCACTCCGCGAACCTGCTGGGCGGACAGACCATGATTGCGAACGTTGAAGATGTCGAGCGTGCGGCAGTCATCCCGTACACGGACTAGCATCGCTCGGCCTGGCACCAAGACAGTGGAGGATGTCGTCGGCAAGGAGGACCCCTGACGAGCCAACGGCGGCAACACCACAGCAACTCCACCCCGCCGATGCCCGTCACCCGCGTCGGAAATGAAGCTGGAGTGGATCGCGAGGCCTGACGCGATCGATCTGAAGAACGAGACGAGCTGGAAGTGGTCCTGGTGCACCTCCTGCAGCGCGATGACCGTGGAGAGGGGACGGAGACTGAGAACAGACTTTCTCTTCAGAATGGCCTTGTCCCCACCAGCCTGAAGAAGTGCCCGAGAATTCCAAGTAGCAATCCGAAACGTAGACGCCGCGGACCCAGGCGGCGGGGCAGGGAGATGGAATAGCTCAGCAGCGCTAAAGACACCACTGGCTGGGGTCGGACGGGTGCGTGAGCTCCTTGACCGCATTGCGGAGTGTGTCAATAGCCATGGCGTGCTTGGCGAGCTGCGCCGAGTCCCAGTAGATCTTGGGCGGGGTGTCGCCGTGGAAGACGTTGACGTGCATGATCTTGTCCCAACCGATCGAGAGAACGCCATGCTCGCGGTCGGAGTAAAAACGCTTGCCAGGGTACTGTAGCTCAACGATCGCTCTGGCCTTGCGCAGAGTGACCTCGGTCTTGATACGCTTGGGCGACTTGTCGGGGCCCAGGTGCAAACGGCAGCGCTCGGCACCAGGGGGGTCGACCCAGAACTCCTTCCAGCCATCGGGTCCCTTGAGGAGCGAGGTGGTCTTGCTGGCACGGCGTGACGCCATGGCGGCCGAGCCCGAGAAGCAGATCTCGAACCTCCTGGCCGGAGACTCGCCTTTCTGCTTGATCTCGTACTGTTCGTCATCGAAGCCAATCTCGCTGAGCCACGGGCGCAGCGAAGAGACCACTGAGGCCAGGGTAGTCGGGCGCTGCGAGACGGCAACGACAATCGTGGTGTCTTCCTCGCGGTCGAAAGAGGTGGGAGCAGCAAGCTGCTTCCTGGGAGTCTGCTCAGCGATGGCCATCTGGCGGCGTAGCTCGGCCAGCTGGTCTTGAAGATCATGAATGGACTTGTCGTGAGCGTCAGCACGTCCCTCAAGCGCGGTGATGCTGCGCTTCTGCTCGTCGAGCTGGGCTTGGAGGCGCCTGTTGAGCGAGTCGAGCCTGGGGGCAATCGCCGATTGAACCTGGCCCTCAATGGCACTGGACTGCTTTGCGACCTCGCCCTGCATGGAGGACAACATCTTGAGCAGCGTGTTGTGGTTGGACGTGATGGTCTTGGCAACGGACTCGGACACCTCGGTGGTGATGGTGTCACGCATGGAGGCAAATTCCTCTCTGCACAGCTGCCGAAGAAAGTCCCCATCATCATCGTCATCATCGAGAGGAGAAGGAACAGGAGCATCGGCGCTGGCCGACGCGAGGGCTTGGCGCTTGCGCTGGATGAAGCGGCCCGTCCCCTGGCCCTTGCCCGAGCGCTCGCCGTCAGGGAAGGTGGGCATAGCTTCGAGCTCGTCGAGCATCTGGCGCTCCTGGGTACTGGCAGGCGCAGCAGGGACTGCATCAGCCATGAGAGCACTGGAAACGACTGTGTCCGCCAGCCTTTGACAGCTGGGTGGCCCTGGAAGAAGGGCTGCCTCACTCAAAACGGGCCTGTCCCGATCTTGAGCCAAAAGGGCAACGGAGGAGGAGGAGGAGGAGGAGGAGGAGGAGGACGAAGAGGAGGACGAGGACGAGGAGGAGGAGGAGGAAGAGGAGGAGGACCCCCCCCTCCAACTTATGGTGGTGGTGGTGGAAAACGTGCCCATCGCTACATGTCCTCTTTTTGGAGGCGCGCGTTCGACACGAATCCGACCCGAACACATGGGATGCCCATCTTGTAGCATATCGTTTCCCGAGCGGCGTGGCCGGAAGGCGCTCGCCACGACGCATGTGCTAGACTATGGCTCGGTGCGCGCGTCGCCCCTGGGGGGGAGGCGCACGCACAGTATCAGTGTGTCGGGGTGACGCCGATGCCGCGGGCGGCAAGATCGATGAGGATCGAGGACACAGACCTGCGACCCAGACCTCAGAATCGAGGAGGGTTGAGAAGGGTCGAGGAGGGTCGAGAAGGGTCGAAGAGGGATGCAGACCTCGACGAGGATCGAGGAGGGTCGAGGATGCAGACCTGCTCATGGATAAGCTCAGGACGTCGTTTTCTGCCTCCCGCGGGGCCCTCGCCCAGCCCGGGGTCGGTCAGAAGACGACTCGGGATGAAGAGCTAACGGGGACGAGGTCAACCCCTATCCCAGGCTTTGGGAGGGCTTTGGAAGGGCCAAAAGTTTTGGGCCCAACCCTGGGACAAGCGATGGGGGGACATCCTCGATAGGGGTGCATCCGAATAGCCCCACTTGGGGTGTATCCCAGGGTTTCCCTGTTGTTCTGAACGGCCAAATGTTTCAAGCGGAACTCGGGAATAGGGGGGGGTGGAACTCGCCCGCTGAAAACCGGCCCCGTGGGAGTGGTCGAAACCTCGGAGGGTCCACCCTACAACAAAAATTACGACGTCGGAGGGTCCAGGAGGGTCGGGGCCCACCGAGCGTGGACACAGAGAGGCGGAGGCTCTCTTGCGGCCGCTTTGGGCGCGGAGAGCTGCCACGGCTGTTGGCACCTGGAAGCCCTCGCCGGGCTCCCGGATCGTCGAGAGACCGGAGCGGAGTCGGGACTTCGGGGGGCTACGTCTTGAGCAAGCGATGCATCGGACCTCCTCGTGGGGCGTCAGGGGAGGCCGATCGGAGCGCGGAGATCGCAGTCCCTCTGGGCGAGGTTCGCTCCCCCTTTGGGGCCTCTCCCGGCGGAACAGATACGCGCCAGCTTCCCTCCATGCGCACATGCGCACACGCAAGCTCGCCTTCACGCTGGATTGGAAGCCTACTGACAGGTTGCCGAGTAGACGGGGTCGGAGAGATCTCGCCGCCTCGCCGATGCATCGGCTACGTCGGCGGTGCCAACGGCGCTGTCTGCATGGAGACAACGGGGCTCCGCATCGAACCGCATGGCCGATGCATCGGCGATGCGGCGCGATCCTCCGACCCCATTTTCTCCGACCCCATCTGGGAGGCATAGACAAATGTTGGGTCGGGCATGTCCCTCTACAGGCGAATTTTGGACGAAACAACAACAACAAATGCTCCCAAATGGCAGGAATTTGTCAAAAAATCGTCCCCCGACTATTTTGGGACTATCTTTGAATATTCCTCCTCTAGAGGGACAGGCCCGACGTAAGCCTAGACTCATGGCCTGATTCTTCGGTTGGACGATCGAGATAAGGGATCGAGGATCGGCCCACGGGCAAGCTTTGCAGGGGGCCGTTGTGGCACGTGCCCGACCCGCCGCGCCTGTCGGGTGGGACGTCAAGGAGGCCCGCCTCAGTGGGGGGGGAGTCGAGCTGAAATCGGCGAGAAGTCGCCGATGGGTTGGTGATGGGCCCCCGCGATGGCAAATCCGCAGCTCCAGGGCGGCGCGAGCTGTCGGCCCCCGAACGCTGCCACCTGGCTTTCGGGTCACAACTCGGCTCTCTGGTGGCCGTTCTAGACGATCCAACCGTCCCCGCAACGCCCTCGGCGAGTCGCACCTGCTGGAGAGCATCCCGAGACTGGAACACCGCCGAGAACCAACGAAAACCCCCGAACACCTAGAACCTCAAACCTTGCGCCCGTGGTCCCCCCCATCACGCCTGAGTATCCCCCCCTCAGCGTTTCCCCTGACGCCTGGAACTCGTCGCCCTCGGTGACCCTGCCGGCGCGCAGGCGGTGCCTGAAGGGACCAAAAGAGGTACCGAGGCTGCTATTCCCCCGACTTCTCCCGGGGTGCGTTCTGGCCAGACTCTCGACGGGAACCCGGCCGTGCGACGAAGACTCCCCCAGGATGAGCAGCGGCACCATCCCAAGACCTTCGAGATGTCGCCGCGCTGTTTGTTTGGAACGCGCCCAAGTGGACGACGCCGACACCACGGCAAGACCACTGCAAACACTGCGCCCCGCGCCCTCGTAGACGACGCCCAGACCGCGGCAAAAACCCCACAACAGGCCCACCGCGTCCGAGGCGGCGTTTGCCCATGGCGGCCGAGGCGCCCTCCCCAAGACGCCGCGCGTCGGAACAAACGGCGCGGTTGTCTCTGAAACTTGGACCCCAGAGGTCTGGACTCCTCCTCCCCCTCCTCCTCCTCCTCCTCCTCCTCCTCCTCCTCCCCCTCCTCCTCCTCCCCCTCCTCCTCGTCTTCCTCCTCCTCCTCCTCCTCCTCCTCTTCCTCCTCCTCCTCCTCGTCTTCCTCCTCCTCCTCCTCCTCCTCCTCCTCCTCTTCCCAGGGACCGTCTTCGCATCCCGAGCCGCCTTCTGACGGTCCCGACACCCAGCGAGGGCCCCCTGGCGAACAGAAAAAGGGCGAACACCCTTCCGACGCGCTGAATTCTGTCCCGAAGCGAGGGGGTCTGCTGGGATGGCCGTGGGGGTTGCGAAGTGGAGTTATCGGGGCGTCTGAGCGGAGGCCAAGGTGGCTGTTTTTCTGGCCGAGCATAGCTTATAAGTGGGCTGCGAGTGCCCCAGACGGCTTGGGTGGGTTCGACAAATACGCAAACCAAACGGACCCCACACAGCCCACATCGGCATATTGGGCAACACATGCCACCTTAGCATCCACTTATGACTCTTCTAGTCCCTTAGCAACCCCCGCGGTGATCTCAGTGTTGGAGGGCGCTGGAAGGTCTGAACTGAATGGGCCCCGAGAAAATCTGCCAAGAAGTCTGGATACAGGCACAACCGCCCAAATCATCCCCGAAACGCTCCCAAGGTCCATCTGGTGCAGCTCTTCACCTCGGATCCATTCTTGACGCTCCCGGGGCCCAACGAGAGGCCTCTGGAAGCCGAAACAGTCAAAGCGAACTCTGGAGCCTAGGACCTCGAACCTCGCCCCTTTCCTGCTCGCCGGAACCACAGCTGGGCAACCTCAGTCCCCAAGCCGGTCCCAGTCCCCTGGCACTCCCCTGCCCCGTTAGCACCCACCGCGGTGATCACAGCGGGCCTTTCCCTCACAACGTGGACACCCATGAGGTCTAGACCTCCTCCTGGGGACAACTGTTTATCCTAGGCTGTTGTTTGACGGCACCAAGTCCCAGTGAACGATGATGTTGATGATGACGATGATGATGATGATGATGATGATGATGATGATGCTGATGGTGATGATGATGATCACGATGATGATGATGATGATGATGATGATGATGATGATGATGATGATGATGATGGTGATGGTGATGGTGATGGTGATGGTGATGGTGATGGTGATGGTGCTGATGCTGATGATGATGATGATGCTGATGATGATGATGATGATGACGATGGTGACGATTGTGACGATGACGACGACCACGACGACGCCGACGACGTCGTTGATAGTGATGGCGTTGCTGATGAGGATGATGATGGTGATGCCGATGCTGCTGCTGCTGCTGCTGCTGCTGATGATGATGATGATGATGATGATGATGATGATGATGATGTTGCTGCTAATGCTGATGCTGATGCTGATGCTGCTGCTGATGATAGCGACGACGATGACGAAAACGGGATTTTCCTCCTCCGAGAGCCGCACGCCAGGCCGCGCGCCCGCCGCGGGCTGCGCGCCGCCCACGAAGCCGCCGAGCGGCCGCAGGGCGGCGCAGAGCAGCGCCGCGGCCGCGCTCGCGAGCGCCGCGGCGCGCAGGGCGGGCCTGCAAGGCGAGGCCCAGACCCGTCGTCGTCGTCGTCGTCGTCGTCGTCGTCGTCGTCGTCGTCGTCGTCGTCGTCGTCGTCGTGATTGTCGTCGTCGTCGTGATTGTCGTCGTCGTCGTCGTGATTGTCGTCGTAGTCGTCGTAGTCGTCGTCGTCGTGATCGTCGTCGCCGTTGGCGCCTCGTCGTCGTCGGCGCCGTCGTCGTTGTCATAGTCGTCGTCGTCGGTGCCGTTGCTGTCTCCAGTCGTGCGGCACTCGGAGGAGGAAAACCCCGTCGGTGTCGTCGTCCTCATCGGCGCCGTCGTCGTCATCATCGCCGTTGTCGTCATTGCTTTTGCCGTCGTTGCCGCCGTGGTCGTCGCGGGGACCACCTCGAGTAGTGAAAACAATGTGGCGACACCCGAATCTTAGGCCCACCAACCACCGATTCTCCTGAATCGATTGGAGGCGGGGGTAGGGTTCGCACTTCGCCACGAAATCGGCGAATTCTGAACCCTACCACCGCCGTCCGTCGAGTCGGCTGAACTGTTGACCTGCGAGGGTAAGGTTCGATTTTTGTTCGCCGACCCGCACCCTCTCGAGTCATGAGACGCACGAGGGAAATGCTGTCGCCGTTTTCAGCCTCTGGGGGCTCCTGCGGGGTCTCGGGGCCGTCCAAAACCGACCCAAGACATCAAACAGATCCCGGGGAACGGGTCGAGACCTGCGCGGGTCGACGTTGTGAACAAATCATGACGTCGGAGGTCTGGGACTGGGGGCAATCCTGGACTGGGGTAAGTCGGGGATGTTCTTCCACTCTCCCTCCATTTCCTTCTCTTCCTCCTCCTGCCGCTGCCCCGTTTAGCAAGCGCACTGGCTGTGAACGCTTGAACTCCGACTCTTCCGCCTGCGCGCCGAACGACGCATGCCCTCGAACACCAGCTATAGCTGCACACATCAGCCGCCCTGGGCAAGAGCAGCCTCTGGTCGGCTGCTTTCGGGGGCCGCGGGGGCCAACTCCAGGAGTGCCGGCCGGTGCTTGGGGGACCCCTTGGTTTCTCCCCCGGTGATGATCTCGGTGCCGATCCACCAGCCTCTGCAATGAGCACCGTGCGAGTAAGACAGCCGCCAGTCAAGCCCAGACCGCCACAGAAGCCGACCTGTAATAGTCGGCGATGGACAAACCTCCCTTTCATAAACCACCCTTTAACCAAACGGCCTAGGACCGAAACCGACGGACCTGGACCCGCAAAATGAAGGCCGCGACGCACTCTCGCGAACCGAAAACGGCCAATTCGCTAATCGACGTGTCAAAGCAGGAGCTCCATCAACTTCCGGAATAGGAGGTGCTGGGGGGACCCTAGTGAGCCCGCACCCAAGGCCACTCCAGTGAAGGGTCCCTCTCACGTGCAGTCGAGAACACCACCAATCCTTTTGAGCAGGGACCAGCCGTACCAGCATTCCTAGAGGCCTACCACGGCATACTCTTAGAACCCAAGAGTGTTCTGAGAACAAAAACAATGTCCTTGGAACATCAGCCAGATGGATTCAAACAAGACAGTCCCAGCCAGAAAGGTTCTACGAACGTTTCGTGGAGACCACAAAAAGCTCTTAGAACATTGCTTGGTGGGCCTATAGGCACGCCAGGACGCTTCGCAACTGCTTGACTCACGTGCAGTCGAGAGCACCACCAATCATTGGGCATCTGCTAAGCCGGATCAATCAGACCCGGGTCAGCAGGAAACCGAAAAACAGCAATGTAGGACAAACAACTCCAGCGCAGGGCTTCGCAAACCCGGGTCAGCCAATAGGCGCGGCCGCCTCGCGGCCACGAGCGGCTCGCTGACCCGGGTCAGCTAGAGGGGGTCTTCGCAGGATCCTGCAGGATGCGGTGCCCTGGCTGACCCCTGCTTGCATTGACCCCTGTCTCTTTGAAGGGCCCCAGGACACACCAAAAAATACACACACACACAAATCACAGGACCCCCCGTATTTTCCCATATATGTTCGGGGCTTCTGTCTTCCCCCCCCCCACTTCCCATACTTTCCCATATGGTTTAGGGAATCGGGGATGACTTGTGTCTGTGTCTTCGTTTCCCTCCTGACTCTGAAGCTCCGACACCCTTCGGGGATGGACAGACCTCCCTTTAGTAAAACGTGGTTTAGTGAAAACGACCTGAGGCCCAAACCTGGCGGGCGCAGGCCTGGAAAATAGCGGCCGCGGCGCCCTCTCGAGAACCGAAACCGGACAATTCACTAATCGACGTGTCACTGTTGGGGGTTCTGTCCACCCCCGAACCCTTGGCCAGCCATGGGCCCGGCCAGGGCCCCTACGCGTGGTCGGCCGGCGCGCCCCCCTCTCGGATCCGGCGGGCCTGGCGCGGCCCCCGGCCGCGCGCTGGCTGCCCCTTTTGGCGGGAGGGGGGGCGGGTGCAGGAGCACGGCCCAAGGGAGGAGGAGCTCGACCCCGAGGAGCAGAGGGAGGAGGAGCAGGAGGAGGAGCAGGAGGAAGAGGAGGGCGAGGAGGACGAGGAAAAGGACGAGGACGAGGACGAGGAGGAGGAGGAGGAGGAGGAGGAGGAGGAGGAGGAGGAGGAGGAGAGGGAGGAGGAGAGCGAAGGAGCCTCGCTGCTCGACCCCTGAGGAGGAGGAGGAGGGAGGAGAGGAGAGGAGGAGGAGGAGGAGAGGAGCAGAAGGAGGAGAGGAGGAGGGAGGAGGAGGAGGAGGAGGAGGAGGAGGAGGAGGAGGAGCAGAAGGAGCAGAAGGAGCAGGAGGAGGAGGAGCAGGAGGAGGAGGAGGAGGAGGAGGAGGAGTATCCCTGTGGGCGTGTGGCCTGGGCCCCGCTGGCCGATCTATCCCCCTAGGTGGGGGACGTGGGCTATTCCCTTCGGGTCTCGAGGGGTACACTCCCACCTGGGGTGCCGACATGGTGGGGGTCTGGACAAGGATGGGGATGGGGATGGGAGTCGGCTGAAAGATACTGGAAGCAGGGAGCGTACGAGTTAGGAGGCAACTCCTGGGTCTGACCAGCCTCGAACATATCCCTATATCCCTGAGATCGGCATGCCCAGGGCGATGACAATCTCAGGGGTATGCCCTCCAGAAATGAAGGAATGTTTAAGATCGGCACCGAGGTAGGGTGATGCCAAACAGAGGGATAGGGATATGATTCAAGCTGGTCAGAATCTCCATCGAAACTCTCAAGGGCTACTGAGCCAAATCGGGAGGCCATTGAGCCAGATTTGTTTGGACTGAGCCCAGAAGTGAGCCAGATTGAGCGGGATAAACCATAGTGACTGCGAGTAAACGGAATTCAACCAATTTATCGACCAGGGGAAAACTAGCATCGAGTCAGAATTCAACCTCAAAGGAGTTACATCCTAGCATGAGGGAGACCTCCAGCGCACTCAAATGATCAAAACGAACGTCAATTGTCCAACCCTCAAGCACTGGGAGTCCTCGGCGGGCCCGGGAGCCGACAAAAACAACCGGGAATGAAGACAGAGCCCCAGGAACGAATCGAGACGGACCGCGTGTTGATACATAAAAAAACACACGCATCGGATGCCTGGGCAGGAGGCCGAGGAGCCAGATAGGGGGGTGAGCGGAGGGGGGCGTGAGGCATAAGACGAAGCCAGGACTGTGACATCAGGCCAGAACATGTCGGCCTGGGCAGTAGGGAGGAGGAGGGAGGCTCAGGCGGAAGGGAGGAGGGTGAGGAGGGAAGGAGGAGAAGGCACGAATGAGGAAACGGGGAGGACGAGCACGGGGGGAGTGAATGGAGGGAGGGGAAGGGAAGGTATGAAGGGAGTGACGGACAGGAGGAGCGATGCAGTACAACGCCCCTAGTCTATGTATGTATGCATGCATGCATGCATGCATGCATGCATGCATGCGTGTATGTATGTATGTATGTATGTATGTATGTATGTATGTATGTATGTATGTATGTATGTATGTATGCATGCATGCATGCATGCACGTACGTACGTACGTATGTACGTCTGTACGCACGTTCGTCTGATCGGCGACATTGCGAAATCCGCTGCATCTGGACGTTACAGAGTCTCCATCCGCCTCGGTCCCCTTCCACTCCCTAATCATCGTAATTCTCCACCTCCTCCTCGTCCTCCTCCTCCCCGTGCTCCTGCTCCTCCTCCTGCTCTCCCTCATCTTTCCCTCCTCCTCCTTCTCCGTTTCCTCCTCCTCCTCCTCCTCTTCCTCCTCCTCCTCCTCCTCCTCGTTACTCCATTTTCACTCCAATTCGTCCTCCTCCTCTTCCTCCTGCGGTTCCTCCTCCTCCTCTGCCTTTTCTTTATGTCCCATGTCCTGCGCCTCCTCCTCTCCTCCGTTTGCAGCTACTCCTCATCCTATCTCATTATTCTCCTCCTCCTTCTCCTCGCGAATAATTCCAGAGAGGTCTCTGCGAACATATGGGCAGCTGTTCTCCACCGCCTGGCAGGGATCATGGCCACATACGGCCCCAGAGAGAAGGTTCGCATGACGTCTTCACGCCCATGTCGGCACAACCTTCACACGGATCGCGCCCCACAGGGAGCTCCACCGACGGCTCCAACGGGAGGGATCGCATGGCGGCCCTCGGCATATTTCGGCACATGCCTGACGCGGATCGTGCCCCGCAAGGATCTCTATCTATGGCACCCATGCGCAATTTCGAATGGCGTCCCCACGCCCGTTTCGGCGCCGCTACACGCGGATCGCGCTCCACAAGCAGCTCCACCAACGGCCTCAGTGGGCGCGCTCGCGCGGCGGCCAACCCCTTCACTTGGATCGCGCCTCACAGGGAGCTCAGCGTGCCTGCGCGCGCTAGCTCCGCAACGACCCTCTATCCGGTCTACCCCGCGTCGCGCAGTATTTGAAAAGAAAGCCGCGCCCTGCGCTATACGCAGCTGCATAGGAGTGGGCCCTTCGCCAGGCCAAGGGAGGCTTCGACAGGCTTGAGACGTGGAGGTTCGGGGACCAGGATGTCAGCGAATCGCGCCCAGGCGTGGTGGGCTAGAGAACCAGCGGCACGACACGCTCAGCAAGAATTGCCAGTCGTGCATAAATGTATAGCATGCTTATATGTACGTGCATGTATGTATATGGAGGTGCAGGTTTGTGTATGTGTGTGCGTGTATATTGTGTACTGTCGGTATGCACACACTTCGTCTGATAGAAATGTGAGTGCGCATGAACGGGCATGTGTATGTGCACGAACGCGTGTAGATCATGCGCACGCTGGCAATATAGATGGGGATAACCAGAAGGTACCGATACGGCTACTCCCCAGACCTCTCTCCCATTGTGCGCTTTGACCAAGGTTTCGAGGCGAATCCAGCAGTGGCGACGAGGACCTCCCAGGAGGCCCAGAAAAGGGAAACCGACATGAAGGGTAGCGGTTTTCAAATAGCAAAACGACTACAGAATTGATTTAATCTGGAAGTCATGCGTCCCGTCAAATCTTCAACACAATGCGTAGGATGCTCCGTAGATCTACCGAACATTCTACGTGCTGTTCGTAGATCCGGCGGAAAATCCTTGCTAAGGCAAACCAATTCTAGAATCGATCCCCTCCTGGAGGTAGGCGCACCTTTTCCTCCTTCGAATAATAGATCACGCGTGCGCAGTATACACGCATACCAGAAGCATCCTAAATTATTGGGTCCGAGCAGATGGGGTCGGAGGATCGCCGATACTTGGCCGCTACTTCGTCGAAGCATCGGCGATGCATCGGCGATGCACCAGTCGTGTTCGTCTGTTGAATCCAGAGCTCTGAACTCGCGGCCCGATCTAGAATCGCGAAACTATTCGTATTGTTCGAGTCATCTTGAGAGGTGCTGTCGGTTTTCTGTACTTAACTCGGGCTGTGGGGGGGCTACAGTGCTGGTAGTCATAGGAATCGATTTGGAGATATCAGGCGCGTCCGCCAGCGATGCACCATCGGCGTCGGCGATGCAGCGGCGACGGCGACGCGGAGCAAATCGGGCTTCGCATCGAGCCGCGTCGGCGATGTGCATCGGCGAGGCGGCGGGGCCCTCCGACCCCGTCTGCTCCGGGCCCATCTGGGAGGCCCAGGTAGACGTATACACATGGGGGGGAGGAGGAGGAGGAGGAGGAGGAGGAGGAGGAGGAGGAGGAGGAGGAGGAGGAGGAGGAGGAGGAGGAGAGGAGGAGAGGGGAGGAGGAGGAGGAGGAGGCGGAGGAGGAGGAGGAGGAGGGAGAGAGGAGGAGGAGGAGAGAGGAGGAGGAGGAGGAGAGGAGGAAGGAGAGGAGGAGGAGGATTAAGGAGAGGAGGAGGAGGAGGAGGAAGGAGGAGAGAGGAGGAGGAGAGGAGAGGAGGAGGAGGAGAGGAGGAGGAGGAGGAGGAGGAGGAGGGAGGAGGAAGGAGAGGAGGAGGAGGAGGAGGAGGAGGAGGAGGAGGGAGGAGGAGGAGGAGAGGAGAGAGGAGGAGGAGGAGGAGGAGAGGAGGAGGAGGAGGAGGAGAGGAGGAGGAGAGGAGGAGGAGGAGGAGGAGGAGGAGAGGAGGAGGAGGAGGAGGAGGAAGAGGAGGAGGCGGGAGGAGGAGGAGGAGGAGGAGGAAGGAGAGGAGGAGGAGGAGGAGGCGGAGGAGGAGGAGGACACGGTCCTCGGGACGCCCGCGCCCCACCGCATCGGCCAGTCCCTCGGCGCGGGCGCCCGGGCGGGGGAGCGCGGCGGGGCGCTGCTCGGGGGGTCGCGGGCGGGCTCGGCTCGGGCCGCGAGGAGGAGGAGGAGGAGGAGGAGGAGGAGGAGGAGGCGGAGGAGAAGGAGGAGGAGGAGGAGGAGGGGGAGGAGGAGGGGGAGGGGGTGGAGGAGGGGAGGAGGAGGGGAGGAGGAGAGGAGGAGGAGGAGGAGGGGGTCGTCGTGGTATTCGTTGATCTCCTCCTCACGCTTCCTCCTCCTCCTCTTTCCTCCCCCTCCTTCCTCCGACTCCTCCTCCTCCTCCTCCCTTCTGGCGGAGGAGGCAGAGGGAGGAAAAGGGAGAGGAAAAGGACGACGAAGACTACGACAACGATAGCCTCCTCCCCCTCCTCCTCCTCCTCCTCCTCCTCCTCCTCCTCCTCCTCCTCCCGAGATGGAGGCGCAGAAGGCGGAGGGGGATATCAGGATAGAGAGGGAGGGTAAGGATAGAGGACGAGGATAATGAAACGGCCGAAGGGGAGGAAGAGGTCAGAGGTTCGAAGACCGACGAGAACCACTCTCTTCACGTGTTCTATCCCAGCGCCCAAATTCTTGCCGCGATGTAGGGTCTCCCAGTGCAGCCCGGGCAGAACGTCTCCCAAGAGAAGCGGGCGGGCCCGGATCGGGCCGCGAGGAGGAAAGAGGAGGAAGAGGAGGAGGAGGAGCAGAAGGAGGAGGGGAAGGAGGGGGAGGAGGAGGAGAGGGGGGAGGAGGAGGAGGAGGAGACGGAGGAGACGGAGGAGGGGGAGGAGGGGGAGGAGGAGGAAGAGTAGGAGGGGGAGGAGGAGGAGGTCGTCGTGGTAGTCGTTGATCTCCTCCTCACCCTTCCTCATCCTCCGTCCTCCTCCTCCTCCTCCTCCTCCTTCCTCTTCCACCTCCCCCTTCCTCCTCCTCGTCCTCCTCTTCCTCCTCCTCCTCCTCCCTTCTGGCGGTGGAGGCCCAGGAGAGGAGAAAGGGGAGAGGAGAAGGACGACGAAGACTACGACAACGATAGCCTCCTCCTCCTTCTCATCCTCCCCCTCCCGAGATGGAGGCGGAGAAGGCGGAGGGAGATGAGAATAGAGGGAGGGTAAGGATATAGGACGAGGATCATGAAGCGGCCGAAGGGGAGGAAGAGGTCAGAGGTTCGAGAATCGACGAGGAACACTGTTTCTCTTCACGTGTTTTATCCCAGCGTGCATGTTCTTGCAGCAATGGCTGGATGTGGGGTCTCCTGGTGCAGCCCGGGCAGAAAGTCTCCCAAGAGAAGCCCAGGTGCCCCGATGGCGGAGAGGGGAGCGGCGGCGCGTCGGGATGGTGAGACCGAGACCTCCAAATGGCCCTTGCAGCATGAGGCTTAAGTCAGGCATGTCCTCCGACAGGCGGATTTTGGAGGACAAATGAGACATGCTCAAACAATGCCCAAACATCGTCGAAAATGGTAGAAACACCGTCCCCAGACAATTTTTTCACTACTATTGAACATTCCTCCTGTAGAGAGACACGCCCGACTTGACAGTAGGTCGGGCCTATCCCGCTACAGGGGGATGTTGAGGGAAAAATAATAATACCCCACAAATACCCCAACATGCCCAACAATAATCAAAACATCGTGCCCATGTTATTGTTTGACTACTTTTGCACAGTCCTCCTACAGAGGGACACGCCCGACTCAACGTGAGGCGGGAGAGGCCTGCTCTTCGCCGCTGGGGCCGCCGGGGCCGAGCGGGGAGGGCACGCGCGCGTGCGGCCGCCGCTGGCAGGACGCGCGTCGCCAGACCAGGTGGCTGACGGATCTCTCCCGTGCACCGTGTTGGGCGGCCCGGCAGGGGGTGCAGCCGAGAGGGGGTGGTGCAGCAGATTTGGGAAGTGGTGCTGCAGATGTACTGCGGCGGGGGATTGTATTGCATTGTGTTGCAAGTAATGAATGCATTGCACGCGAAAGTCCAGCAATAGATCTGCGCCCCAGAATGTATTGCAC